GGCCTGGTTAAGACCTGGTTTAGACCTGATTTTAGTGCTGGTTTAGACCTGGTTTAGACCTAGATTTAGTCCTGGATAAATTCTCGTTTAGTTCCTGTTTAGACCTGGTTTAGTCCTGGTTTAGTCCTGGTTTTAGTCCCGATTTTAGTCCTGGTTTAGACCTGGTTTTAGTTCTGATTTTAGTCCTGGTTTAGACCTGGTTTTAATCTTGGTTTAGACCTGGTTTATTCCTGGTTTAGACCTAGATTTAGTCCTGGTTTCAGTCCTGGTTTAGTCCTGGTTTTAGTCCTGGTTTTAGTCCTGGTTTAGTCCTGGTTTAGACCTGGTTTAGTCTGTTTTAGTCCTGGTTTAGTCCTGTTTGTCCTGGTTTAGACCTAGATTTAGTCCTGATTTTAGTCCTGGTTTTAGTCCTGGTTTAGTCCTGGTTTTAATCCTGGTTTAGACCTGGTTTAGACCTAGATTTAGTCCTGGTTTAGTCCTGGTTTTAGTCCTGGTTTAGTCCTGGTTTTAATCCTGGTTTAGACCTGGTTTAGACCTAGATTTAGTCCTGGTTTAGTCCTGGTTTAATCCTGGTTTAGACCTTGGTTTAGTCCTGGTTTTAGTCCTGGTTTAGTCCTGGTTTTAATCCTGGTATAGTCCTCGATTTTAGTCCTAGATTTAGTCCTGATTTTAGTCCTGGTTTTAGTCCTGTTTTAGTCCTGGTTTTAGTTCTGATTTAGACCTAGATTTAGTCCTGGTTTAGTCCTGGTTTTAGTCCTGGTTTAGTCCTGGTTTAGTCCTGGTTTTAGTCCTGGTTTAGTCCTGGTTTAGACCTGGTTTTAGTCCTGGATTTAGTTCTGATTTAGACCTACATTTAGTCCTGGTTTAGCATTTAAATGGTAATATATGCAAGAATTCATAAATTAAAAAAAGCATAATTATATAAATGTGTATTTAAAAGTAAAAATAAAATATAGAAAAATGGGATTCAAGTAGGATTCAGTTCAGACTCATTCACATTTAAAAGACTGAAATATGAACTAAGAAGAATCCCAGGCATTTCAGATCATGTTTGTATCGATCCAAAAAGCAGACAGGATATTTTGAACTTTATGAAGGTCATTGTATTATGTAAACAGATTTCAGAATAACCCTCCTCTGTTCGTCTGTAGCGTTCAGGACGAGCCCTCCCAGACTCCGCTCCAGACCCAGGGAGAGGAGTCCTTCCAGTGGGCAGACAGCGACAGCGCCCCCCCTGTTCAGACGCAGTACGGCTACAACTACCACCACATCGACCAGAGGACCGAGCACCCGAGCAGCCCCAAGCCCCGAGAGCGCGGCGGGGAGGTGTACGCCGAGTTCACCAGCGTCTCCTGCGCCGACGGACAGTACGAAGCCAGAGGTACGGCTGATAGAAAGTGGAAAAACAAGGATGGATGTTTTGTGGTCAATGTTTAAAGGTGCACTATGTAACTTTTTTGGTGGGGGATCGCAAGTTTTGTAATACATGCATCACGAATTTCAGACTTTCGTTCATCGCGCAATGCAAACTGGGAAGGATCATCCGAAAAAGTGAGCATCAACCCGCCGTGTTTGTTTTCCCAGTGGGATGTGTCTATTGACAAAGTCGATCTTTTCAAGTCTTTTGAACCATATCACTTTTGTTTCTGGTTCTGATATTGTCATATTTTAGTTTTGGGATTCGGACATTGTAATTGTGTGGTTGTTGGATCCTAACAGCGGAAAACTGGGCTTCGGAAGTTTGCGAACTCCATAAATGCAAAAGTGAATCAGATGTGTGTGACTCAAACCTCTGTTCAAACTGTTTCTCTTCCCAACGGAATTGAAAAATAGTGAAAGGTGAAGGTGATGTTGCAGGATTGATCCACAGGAAGAACCAAAAAGGAAACCTTCGACTGCCTAAGAAATCATCCTGAGTTTGCAGTGATCATTTTGTATGTGGAGCGACAACAAAGCAAAATCTCGATCCCCCGCTCAATCTTGGTTATGAATTTAAAAAGTCAACACCAAAGTGAAAGGTACCAGCTGTTCACCAAGAAAAACCTTCCACTGCAAAGAGACCAAGACGTGATGTTGCTGTAAAACCACAAGAACAAGAAAGTGCAGCTCAGTCTGTTTGTCTTCTGCTCCTCTACATTAACAAACGGGATTTTACTTTGTTGTTGCTCCACATACAAAATGTTCACTGTAAACTCGAGATGATTTAGGCAGACAAATGTTTCCTTTTTCGTTCTTCCTGTGGATCAATCCTGCCCATCACCTTCACCTTTCACTATTTTTCAATTCTGTTGGGAAGAGAAACAGTTTGAACGGAGGTTTGAGTCACACACATCTGATTCACTTTTGCATTTATGGAGTTCGCAAACTTCCGATAGCCGTTTTCCGCTGTTAGGATCCAACAACCACACAATTACAATGTCCAAATCCCAAAACTAAAATATGACAATATCAGAACCAGAAACAAAAGTGATATGGTTCAAAAGACTTGAAAAGATTGACTTTGACAATAGACACATCCCACTGGGAAAACAAACATGGCGGTTTGATGTTTACTTTTTGGGAGGATCCTTTCCTGAATGCATTGCGTGATGACCTGAAGTTCTAAATTCCTGATGCTTGTATTGGTTGGAACACGACTTGTTATCCTGATTAAACTTGTGTTGATCGCACAGTCCTGCCCAGAGTCAGCGTGGGCCACAGCTCTGGACATTACCCAGGACAGAGCTCGTTTGAAGGGGACACGCCACAGTACCACCACCCCGAGGACCTGCACCACCCCGACCACTACGCAGGGGAGGAGCACCCAGGGGGAGCACCCGGGGGAGCACCCGGGGGAGCACCCGGGCAGAGGGGACCACGCCCGATATGTGTCAGATGGATACGTCCACTTCCTTCTCTCCAGGTCAGTTCATCCTGTTTTTAATCTGAAAAATAGAATCCACATTTGCCTCCAAATGCTCTAAACTACACTTCATCACATTCATTTCAATGGACAATCTGAGAAACAATCATTTCAGTTAAGAACAAAAAACAATAAAATAGGAAAACAGTTTGTTGTTTCATTATTCTGTTTTAGTGTCGAACTACAAAACAACAGATTTCAACCTCTATTTCCAATATTTCATTTAAAGTTTATTTCAAATAACACCAGTCAAACCAGTCATCGTGCCTCAGTTTTTGGATGATTCAGTCTGTATCAGGGGATGTTATAGGCCAGAGGAGTCAAACTCAAATTAACACAAAATTAAAAACTCGAATAAGTCGTGGGCCAAACAAAATATTGAAAATTTTTAACAACATCTGCACACATTTTCTTATTAAAATAAATGAATAATAATAAATTTGCTTAAACATTGAATTCAGAACAAGCAAAATATAAAATAATAATGACATTTTAAATAAATAATGTCCCTATAGTCGATCCATAGGCGGCAGCCAGGTCTAATACATATTTGATATGATCTCACAGGCCAAATATAATCATATCACGGGCCAAATTTGGCCTGAGTTTGACATGTCTGTTATAGGCCGTGGCTGCCATCCAGATCCACATTAAATACATCACAGAGTTGTTTGGAGCAGGAAAGACACATGCAAAAATTTTCCTCCACACTGAAGCAAAATGGAATTAAGATGTGCTCAGAAATGAGGATTCAAAGAGTTTGTGAAAAATACAACCTAAGATGCAAAGGACTGGACCGATGCAGAGCTGGAAAGAGCTGTAATGGGCTCATTTTGTGAACAAACGTGCGCTTCTTTTAGTGTTGCATTTACTTTCACATCTTAGAAAGTCATTGTTAAACTCTTTGACGAGAAACAGGAGGCAGCGATAAACTCTCCTTTGTTCAGTGACACTGAATTCACATATAACGTTAACTTCATTCATCAGCTGGTTTCACTTCGTACAAACCGTCTGATCTCGCAGTGTTAGAATTCGTTCGCTCGACGGTAGGCGGGTACTTTTTATCATGTAACCAATTGCTGCTATTTGGTCGTGACGTATGTCATGTGCCGATAATGGGGCTAACTGGTATATTAAGCTTTTCCCAAATCCCGTAGGAAGAAGGACAATAACATCCAGCCCCTTGATAAAATTCACCAAACATTCTCTTTGTTCCAGCTTTAAATCCTCGATCTCGGGAATTGTTAACAACATTGAATATATGACTTTTTGCTGACTGGCTGGTGCCCGAACTCACACTTCCTACGTTTTTGCACACTGTCTATATTGTATTTTGATTTTGACCTCGGCGCTGGAGAGAAATGAAATTGAGCGGAGGCACTAGGTGGCACCAGCCTGACTTGAGCAGCATAACATCCGGGGCAAATAAACCAGAGAAAATAAAATATCAAAATGGAAATAGGCACAATGAATTTTTTTTTTGATTGGTGTTATTTGAAATAAACTTTAAATTTAATATTGGAAATAGAGGTTGAAATGAGTCTTTTATTTGACACTAAAACAGAAAAATGAAATAACAAACTGTTTTTCCCATTTTATTGTTTTTCGCCTTAATTTAAATTCAAAAGAACGACGCTGCACAGACCAAACAGCGCCACTATTAGAGCATATTTACATATTCTTATGAGCCATTATCATGACACTTCTGTTTGCTCATGCTCCTCGCTGCTTTAGACCCGACCCCACCCTGCCACATTTCTGCATAATCAAGTTTCTCTCTGAAATCTGGAACACAAAAAAAATCACCTCCAACCTCGTACTTAATGCTCGTTTTAACGGCACAAATCCTGGCTGAGATTTGCACCCAGAGTATCCGTTATGGTTCTCACGTGACGTCCCGATTCCACTCTGGCCCCTCTCTCTATTGTTATCCGCCTTTATGCTAATGAGGCGGCGTGAGTGGGCGGTCCCCGGGTCACACAGCCTCCCATTGTTCCCGCTCGTCCCACACGTGCACCACAAAACCAGTAAGTGTCTCCGTTTTTTTCCCCCTCCGGCTCAAACTCCCCGGCCACGCTCCCCGGCCCCTGTCCCGTCCATGGTGTTCCTGGTGGGGCTGGTGCTGTGTGTGCTCGTGTATCTGGCGGTGGTGGCGGCGGCGGCGGTTGTTTACGTGGTGGGTCATTATTGTGTGGTTGCCCCCGGATACAGGCAGACGCAGCAGGGAGAGAGCGCGGACATGGGCTCCAGGGAGGACCCGGAGGAGGTGGACAACAAGGAAGGTACGTGGAGTTCTCCCGCGGAAAGCTGTAAGTATCGGGATTAGATTCGCGATTTGTGTTTAAAAAGTGGAGTTCTGGTCACGGTGCACTTTGTAAACAACTCTAGAAGCATTAAAACACCCATATTACACTATTTTCTGACTGTAATATGACTTTAAGTATAATATCTATCTCCATGGAGACAAAGAGGTGATGCTATCAAGAAAAAACAGACTAAAATAAAAGCACAATATCAGCGAAACATTATTATACAGTATTTGTTTTTGTGTTTGTTTTGTTTTGTCTTCTCCCCGTAGCATAAATCCTGGTGCTTATATAATCGTTAACAGAAGCACAGAGATGACTGGGCTTTCAATCCTCGGTAGTTGTAAATTGAAAAGATGAAATGTTGAATAAATGAATAATGATGATTTCTATGAGGCTCCTTTGAACCGGTGTTTACAAAGAGCTTTATAATTAAAGAGGAGCGCAGAGGAAGGACGAGGCTGTGGTAATAAAATACTACAATATACAACACAATATAACACGACACTACTATACAACACTAAACACTTTGCACAATCAATCAAACTTTATTTATATATCACTTTTCATACATTTGAAATGTGACACAAAGTGATTCACATGCAACAGAAAAATTAAAACAACAGCAAATCCACCCCATTGTTTTTTGTTTTGTTTCGTTTTGTTTTGTTCCCATAATTACAACAATTTAGACAGAAACATAAAACATAAAGCTCCTAAAGGTTGTAGTAAAATACTGAGTTAAAATTAGATGAAGATGTGATAAAAAAATAAAGTCAAATAATAAGTAAGTCTTTATTTATATAGCACTTTTCACAGACATTTGCCACGAAGACGTTTTACAGAGCATTACTCATTCACTCCACACTCAGTGATGGTGAACTACTGTTGTAGCCACGGCTGCCCTGGGACAAACTGATGGAAGTGAGGCTGCCAATCTGCACTATCAGTCCCTCTGACCAACACCAATATCACTCATGCACACACCACTTTCATACTAGGCAATGTGAGTGAAGTGTCTTGCCTAAGGACACAATGACTGATTTTTGTGACTGGCGCCCCCTTGTGGCTCCTGATTTTACCAGTGTCTCTATCCAAGTCCTGACCAGACCCAGCCTCTGAGCTTCTGAGATCTGATGAGATCTAATCTTTAATTTTATCTTTAATTTAAAACAAGTAAAGGTTTTAATTAAAAGCTAAATTAAAAAGATACCTTTTGAGTTTACTTTTGAAAATATGAACCCTCACAGTCACAGCAGACCTCAGGTCTTCAGGTCTTCAGGTCCTTGTGTAGACTGTTCCACAGAAGGACAATTCAAATACTGTTTCATCTTTTCAGTGATATATGATCCCCAAATGGCATCCACGAAATTAAGAGTCAGTCTCAGTGATTTGGCTGTAACATTAATCACTCCCAGACTTCCCTCACCCCAGACACTTCCTGCAGATCTTCCAGGTCTGTACCAGCGTACAGACCATAGGAGAGAGTCAGAATGTAGACTGAGCATTAAAGCTTTGCCTTTCTGCTCCAGTTGAGGTTGTTGTTTTACAGTGAGTTCAAAATCTTTATTGCTAAATTGATTTTCCTTTTGGAAGTTTTTCATGAAAATACCCTGTAAGCTATAAGGTTTGGTCTAAAGTGGTCTAAAAATCCTTTATGTCCACAGAATTTTTTTTTTTAAACAAATAAAAATAGAAGAAAACACCTTTATTTTGTTGAAATAATGTTTAAAGTATCAGAAAAAAAAAATAAAATTTTTTAAACTAACTATTAAAAATATTCCGTGTAAATTGTGTCATCAGGTCGGACTCTCGAAAATAAAACTTCCCACTTAATTTTCAAATTTTCTTTACAAATTGCTTCTTGATTTATATATATATTTAGAGCAGGTATTCCTAGCAAATTAAATCAAACCTAGAATCAAACTTAGAATCATCAAAACCTGTCACACGCACTTCAGATGTTGTTGTTGTTGTTATTGTTGTTGTTGTTGTTGTGTTCAGATCCTTCTTCTTCAGCTGATGTCTCCGGGGGCTCGGGTCAGAGGAGGAAACTTTCCGCTCCTCCTCTGAACGTGTCGCTGGAACAGAGCGAAGGATCCCTCCTCTCAGAGACCGGGGACGAGACCGGAGACGAGACCGGAGACGATCTGGACCTGAACATGGACGACATGGACACTCCAGACGAGGCCGACTCTGTGGACTTCGACGCACAACAAGGTGACAGCTACAGTTATCAGACGTGTGCTGTGGTCACACTCAGACTCCTGGTTTTGAGGCCAGTTTAGTCTTGATCTAGACTTGGTTTGGTTCTGTTCTAATCCTGGTTTAGTTCTGGTCTAGACTAGTCCAACTTTTTTACAAGTATACAGTGTCTTTATGTTGTTTCATGGCTTATAGAGTCGTAAGTATTAGACTATGTTAAGACTGCAGCCTGAAGTGACCTAAATTAGATTTTTTTCTCCTCTATGCTCTTGTAACTGATCTTTTAATGACAATCTGAACGTTCAGACTGCAGGGCTTAAAGCTCAATTCTGTTTTTTTTGTGAAATCAGATTTTTTGCGAGGTCATTTACATTTCCAATAAAATGCGACTTGTATGTGATCTGAAGTGTGAACTTTAAATGGCCCAAAAGTGTCCCGCATGTGCATTGGAGGACACGACCACATCACTCACAGCGAGCGTGCTCAGTGTTTACGGAAGTCACCTAAACGCTGGGGTCGTCTCCCAAAATACGCTCCAGTTCTTGGTAAAATGGACAGGTTACACGTCCACGGCCGCTTCGTTTGTTTGAGTCTTTAGTCTCCTTGTATTTAACTCGCAGGCTCTTTATTTTTTGTTGACATTGGAGCTAGGACCGTCTGCATTTCTTTGGCAATCATTTCAAAAAAACGTCCAGTTCCGATAAGATGCCTCGAATTTGGTCTGAATACAGCGATCCCCCTAAATATTAATAAACTCGCTAACCTTGTTTTCCCTCCGTTGACGAGACTCTGAGCCTGACGTGTAGGTGGGATGAATGTGACCTGACCGTTCAGACTGAAGTCGCATGTCAAAAGATCGGATGTGTATCAGTTTTAGGAGCACAAATCCAAGTGGTCTGGGTCGCAATTGGAAAAAAATGAATCTGTGTTGTTCAGACTGTCATTAATGGATCAGATACAGGAGCATAGGAGTGAAAAAATCAGATTTGGGTCACTTCAGGCTGCAGCCTGAACGTAGACTTAGACAAACTTCACTGATCCACAAGGAAAATGACTTGGACACAGTAGCTCAAACATCATAATATAATATAATAACAAAGAGCCAAAATATAAATGGTAATAATAAATTCTAAATAAGTAGCAAAAATGGCTTCTTAATTTGTAGTTACTCGGCTTCATGCTTTGTTTCGGTTAATAAAGATGTGCCCAACAAGTCTTTAATCTGTCTCGTGTCGTAGTACAGACCCCGTAGTCCTCACCTCTGACCCTCGACCCTGTGTGTGTGTGTGTGTGTGTGACAGGAGAGTCTGAGGAGGCGGCCGCTGCTGCTGCTGCGTCTGCCCCGGGGCAGAGTGCAGAGAGTCGCCTCTGGAGGAGCGTTCTGATCGGAGAACAGGAACATCGCATCGACATGAAGAGCATTGAGCCGTACAAGAGAGTCATCTCACACGGAGGTACTGTGCACTGACTCACCAACACACGAACGCACACATACACTGTAAAATAATTCACATTTTAACATACAGGGCAGCCGCTGGGTCTTAAAAGTCTTAAAAAGGTCTTAAGTTTCATGTTCCTAAATTAAGGCCTTAAAAAGTCAAATTCTGTTGTCCAAGTCTTATTTTTTTCTTAAAGGTCTTAAATTTCATTAGCCTATTTTTTGTAAACTCAACCAGTGCAATGGAAAACAAGACAACAACGTGAAATTAAGTAACGTGAATGAAGGTTTAATTTGGAGTTCCATGAGTTAATTTGGAGATCCATGTGAGTGTCTGGCACCGGTGGCAACGATAAACCATCAGTAGAGTGGAAGAGGACTTTGGATGGATCGTGGGGAAGTGTCAGTTTAATCCGCAGCGGCTCTTAGATTCTAGATATAGTAGTTAGTTGGTCATTATTAGAATTATTGGATTATTATTGGATTGCATTATTGGATCTGGTGTTTTTCGTGTGATGTTGGTCTTAATTTTCATTTAAGTGGTCTTCAAGAAGTCGCAAAAAAGTCTTAAATTTCGGATTGTCAAACCTGGGGAAACCCTGACATACTAATACACAATAAATATACTAACACACATAAATACACAATATAATGAATACACAGTAGCACACTAACTCCTGTTTATCATGCGTGACCTGAGTCTGGCCCACGTTAACAGACATACACATTTGAAGTAATAATAATTATACGTTTTATTTATTAGGCGCTTTTCTGGACACTCAAATTCACCTCACAACAATAAACTAATACAATACAATTAAAATACATACAGTTAAAAGCATGTGGGACAGTGCAGCTCTGGTCTGGTGGCGTAGTAGACGAAACAGGCCAGTCTGAGTAGGTCTGTTTTGAATTTGGATTTGAAATGTGGGAGTGAGTGAGTGTTGCAGAGGCCAGGAGCAGAACAGAGAGTTGGAGAGAGGAGGGAGGAGGAGCAGAGTGAGCGGGCGGGGCGTGGCGATGTGGAGAAGCTCAGGTGGGAGGGATCTGAATGAAGTTATGGAGAGATTTCAATGTGAAGAGCAGGAAGTTTACAGATACATACTCCCATTTAACATCACTGTCTTCAGAAAAAAACACAACAGCCAGAACCAAGATGGGGGTCCAGTTTGAGTGACAGGGCCTAGATCAACTAGTATCACTCGTTTAGCCTTTAGCACAAAAGGACAGCCCACCGTCCATGTGCAGTTCTCGTGTGTGTGTGTGTGCAAGGACCATGTTCTCTTATACCATCTTATACCAATCAGAGCGAGAGTAGCCAGAATGAGAAACAGAGAAGCTAAAACTAAAGATCTACACCGCTTTCTCTTGTGTTTCTCAGGTTACTATGAAGACCAACACGCCATCATCGTGTTCGCCGCCTGCTTCCTCCCGGACAGCGACTGTGAAAACTACAACTACGTCATGGAAAACCTCTTTCTGTGAGTGTTACTCCCAGTTTATACCAAAGCGTAACAGTGCGCAAGCGCAGCAGCACAGCATACGCACAGATATTGTTTTCCATTTTTAACCGATCAGACAATTTACACCCGCAGTGTCATTCTCATACACTCAAATTAGGTTGGAGTTCTAATTTTTCAGCATCAGAGTGCCTCCAGGTTTTTTAGAAGAAGCACGACAGGAAATAAGCACGTGGTGTCAAAATAAATTTCCGATGCCCTTTCAAAATACGTTCTCTAAAACCACTACAGTCGTGTTGCATCAGGAGCTCAGGGAATGACTTGTGATGGATTACAGAAAGTTTACAGCCTTGGAGGATAAATATAAAACACTTTACAATGTCAGACAGAAACTTTACAAGAACAACTTCTGAAGGAAAAGGCGCGTGGTGCAGACACAGAGAGTTAAAAGGTGAGCGGCTTAATTAATGTGAGCTCGTTATCGCTACAAAGGATCGTTTCTCTTGTTGTCAACTTTTAAAACATAATTCACCCAATCAACAATGAATACATAAGCAATTTAAAAAGTTTAGTGTTTAAGCGTGAGAATACACAGAGGCTGGAGTCACAGGAGCAGCTCTGCCGCCTCTGGTGTAAATTAATGCTTTTAATTTTAAGTACGCACGTATGCAGCTCTGTGACGCTCCTGGTATAAATTCCGGGTTATAAACAAACCATCCTTTACATTCATTCATTTCATTAGGTTTTCAATCAAAACAGGCCTGAGGAGTTATAATTTACACCTTACCTCTCAATTATATTTATACAACTTTGTCCAGATTAAACTTTGCCAATCATGGACCACTCCTGGACAAATGGTGACCTCTCTGTGGCACCTGAACTCCCCATGACCCCTCTCTGATCTTCCTGAGACTCTTGACCCCTCTCTGACCTTCCTGAGACTCTTGAACCCTCTCTGACCTTCCTGAGACTCTTGAACCCTCTCTGACCTTCCTGAGACTCTTGAACCCTCTCTGACCTTCCTGAGACTCTTGAACCCTCTTTGACCTTCCTGTGAGTCTTGACCCCTCCCCTCTGACCTTTCTGTGACTCTTGAACCCTCTCTGACCTTCCTGAGACTCTTGAACCCTCTCTGACCTTCCTAAGACTCTTGAACCCTCTCTGACCTTCCTGAGACTCTTGAACCCTCTCTGACCTTCCTGAGACTCTTGAACCGTCTCTGACCTTCCTGAGACTCTTGAAACCTCTCTGACCTTCCTGAGACTCTTGACCCTCTCTGACCTTCCTGTCACTCTTGAACCCTCTCTGACCTTCCTGACTCTTGAACCCTCTCTGACCTTCCTGAGACTCTTGAACCCTCTCTGACCTTCCTGAGACTCTTGAACCCTCTCTGACCTTCCTGAGACTCTTGAACCCTCTCTGACCTTCTGAGACTCTTGAACCTCTCTGACCTTCCTGAGACTCTTGAACCCTCTCTGACCTTCCTGAGACTCTTGAACCCTCTCTGACCTTCCTGAGACTCTTGAACCCTCTCTGACCTTCTTGAGACTCTTGAATCCTCTTTGACCTTCCTGTGACTCTTGACCCCTCCCCTCTGACCTTTCTGTGACTCTTGACCCCTCTCTGACCTCCCCATGATCCCTCTCTGACCTTTCTGAGACTCTTGAACCCTCCCTCTGACCTTCCTGAGACTCTTGAACCCTCTCTGACCTTCCTGAGACTCTTGAACCCTCTCTGACCTTCCTGAGACTCTTGAACCCTCCCCTCTGACCTTCCTGAGACTCTTGAACCCTCTCTGACCTTCCTGAGACTCTTGAACCCTCTCTGACCTTCCTGAGACTTTTGACCCCTCTGTGTGTCAGGTACGTGATCAGCACTTTGGAGCTGATGGTGGCGGAGGACTACATGATCGTGTATCTGAACGGAGCGACACCGCGCAGGCGGACCCCCGGCTTCTCCTGGATGAAGAAGTGTTACCAGATGATCGACAGGAGGTAACACCGGGGGCATTATGGGAGATTATAGCTGACTCTAAGAGGTTCAAACGTGTCTCTTTTCTCAGACTGAAGAAGAACCTGAAGATGTTTATTATCGTGCACCCTTCGTTTTTCATCCGGACTTTACTGGGAATCACACGGCCGTTTATCAGGTGACCCCATCGGATTTAAATGGTGATATTTTTTTCTAAATGAAGGTTTAAATGACTCTGACTCTGTGTTTGTGATTGTGCAGTTCAAAGTTCAGCAGTAAGATCCGGTACGTGCACAGTCTGGAGGAGCTGGGCCACATCATCCCCATGGAGTACGTGCACATCCCGCCCAGTATCATCAGGTCAGTGCACACGGCAGTATTCCCCATGTACACCACCCCACACCACGTGCACCCTGTACCGAAAAGTAGACAAGGCATGTTTATTTATACAACACAATTCATACTCAGAGTAATTCAAAGTGCTTTACAGAGTAAGAAATACATTAAAATCACAATGCAAACAAATCAAAACATAAATTATCATCATAAAATTAAAACATGAGAGACATTAAATGAGAGAGAAGAGTGCGGAATGAAAAATGAAAACCTTTCAATTCATAGTTTATAGTTCAGCTAAACAGAACCGTTTTGAGCCTGGATTTAAACAGGGTCAGAGCAGAGGCCTGTCTCACATATTCAGGAAAACTGTAGAATAAAGACTGGTAAAAACGATCAGAACTGCCTTTCGTTTAGACGGTGACGGCGTTTTGGGGGCTTAAAAATGCAAAAATCTGAAACTACCCTCCAGATTGGAAAAGTTGAATCCGCTCCGTCGTATCTTTTCCGTCTACACCGCCCAAGACGTAAAACTCTGGTCAGATGTGCTCAGGTCGTGTACATGTTTACGTCACATACATACAGGACACAGAAACAAACATGTCATATTATTCCCATGCGTCAGACCTTCAAGCTGCTGTCAGCTCTAATAAACTTACAGGAGGCTCCTAACAAATGTACAGAATCTGCAGAGATACTATTACTGAACAGAGAAGGATCTGCAATTACCTCTGTCAAATTACTTTGACAATTTGATGAAAATGCGTGACGTGAAAACTTTCGTATGTCCAAAGATGCCCTTGTTGTTTTAAGTACAAGTATACACAATCCAATTCCACACACTTTTGCGTCACCTTTTTCCTCCTGAATACGCTCGTCTAAGCGCTGAATAAAAAGTGAAGACACGATGTCATGTCTTCTGTTCAGACCCTCATCATATAAACGTAGCCTTTGACTCTGACTCTGGGCACCAGCAGGAGGTCGGTCCCTGAGCTCCTCAGAGTGCGAGATGGTTCTTGTGGCACTAACATGTCACAGATGGACTTTGGTGCTCGGCCATGGAGAGACTTGTACAAGCAGAGCTGCTTTAAAGTCTCTGAGCCACAGGGGGCAGTGCAGAGACCTGAGCTCAGGACACATGTGCTCGTACTTCCTGGTCCAAGTCAGGACCTGATCTGCAGTGTTCTAGAAGTACTGCAGCTGTCTCAAGGCCTGTATACCTGAGAACGCTTGCGGGTAAAAACAACCAAATATATTATTGGAAGTGTTGTTGTTTAGTCGTTTAGAAGGTGTGCTGGGGGCTTAAAAACGCAAAAATCTTAAACCACCCTCCAGAGTGGAAAAGTTGGATACGCTCCGCCATAGTGTTTCTGTCTACACTGCCCAAGACGCAAAACTCTGGTCAGATCTGCTCACGTCACATACACATTTAAGTCACATACATCACCACCTGGCATCACTACCGAGCCGCCTGGCATGCATAATACACAATCGAATTCCACACACTTTTCCGTGTAAAAGTGCATCTAAACGTGGAATAAAAAGTTTGCGTCTTCTGTTCAGACCGTCGTCATATAAACGTAGCCTCAGAGCTCGTTTGGAGAAAGCACCGTCATAGTCAGCCCCTAATACGACATGTTATTAAAATAGCAGTTGTTGTTGTTTTTTTTTCAAAAATGTTCAGCTATTGTAAAGAGGGACACAAACAGCAAACCCACTACACTCATTCAAGGGAACATAGCGCCCGGTGTGTGCACACTCAAAGAAAATAACGGAGGCAGCTCTTTTACTCCACATCAGTGTCAACGTCCGTGTGTGTGTTGACCTTAAGGCCCATAGACTTTGCCTGTGAACCCGACACCCCTGACACCACGGTCACAAAACAAACTGCATTGTAAGTTGACACGAACATGACCCGCTCTTTCATTTAATTTTGAAGGTTTGACGATGACAGAGGAGCAGGTGCCAGGTAAAACAGCTCAAATATAACACGTTTATAGCTGTTTTTTTCACAAACTCTGGACTAACTCTCTGTAGCTCCTGGTCCCTCAGTCTCAGGTCCACTCTTTTAGTTTAACACGGTGACTTTTATACGTCTATCTTCTCTTGTTCTGGCTCCTGGTTCTGTTGTTTCGTCTCTTGGCTTTGTGATTCTAGTCGAGTGCCTCTTAGTCATAGTAACCCTTCCCTCTCTCCCTCTCCCTTTCTTCTCTCCCTCTGTTTTTGCTGAACCAGACTGGATGCAGAGTTACAGGAAACAACGTGCAAGTAAGTCAACAGTAAAGAGCAAACACAGAGCCCTTTTGTTTGGTTTAGAGCCGCAGGTTTAATTAGCGCTGGGCAATAAAAAACATTCATCTTCCCTCATATCGCTCGTTCTCAGAGTTTGATCGTGTGATTTTCTGAATATTAACATTCGGTCATAAAAATCGTTAAATTACTTCCTCCAAAACCGCACGACGATTAAAAATGACAGTGATTAAAAATGGCCCTCTACCCGTTTTTTTTTTTTTTTTTTTCATGTATTCGAGCGTAATTCGTTTGTTAAAGCAGCTCTGGAGGTCAAAATAATTCAGCTGTGTACTGTCTGCGTATGATTATAAAGCATTTAGTTTCAGGAAGTGCGCTGTTAGCATGCTAGATGTTGTTAACTTTAGTGTGAGGGCAAAAATCTGCTGGTCAGTGAAGTTTATGAAAAGCTCTTGTAAACTCAAGGTGGTGAATAGTCCAACGAGGTTTATTTGGTTATGTTATTAGGTTCTTTTTTCAGACCAAGAGTTTGTTTTCATATCTGAAAGTTTCGACTGCTCATTAGCGGTCTTCCTCAGAGTGGTTACGTGATGTTGCTGTGACGTGGCTGGTCAATTACTCGTCCACCCAAAAGATAGAACGGAACCGGAGCATAAATGTAATGTCATATACGAAAAACCCTCCATGTCTCGCAATAAAACACACATCAGGCTCCTCACCACTGGAAGTCACTAGTAGCGTCTGATGAAGTCCTTGTTCAGTTTCTAAAGCAAATATCCGTGCTTGTAGCTCATTAATTTCTTGTTGATACTTCTGACAGCGCTCACAGATAGAATTCCCTTGGTTTCTTCCCCCGACATGTCGCTGGCTCATCAAATTATTTGTTAAATGTGAGAAGTCCTGAATGTAAAAGTCTTGGTTAACTTGAAAGAAAATCAAAAATAGACACATTATCCGGTGTTGGAGGAGGGAAACTGATTAAAAAGCAAAGTAAAGAAGGAAACAGCAGGATAGCGTCCACACGCTTCAGAAGGAGGAAGCAGTCGAAATACAGAAACATGCCCACGTTTTCGTTGTGGATGCAGTGTTCGTTCACACTAATCCGATGGAAAATGGCTCCAGAGACGTAACGATCTGGTGCCGCCAGCTCCCACGAATTCATTTGAGTACAGATCTGATCCGGCACCGTGTGGACGCCTGAAAACGTTGATACGCTGATGTAGGAGCTCTAGTTGCCGTCCTTGTTGGACCACGTCACTGTGACTTGCGCCTTGATGATTCGCTGGGTTCATGTCATCGGTCATCTACACTCTGAGCCGCCATGCTTGTCTTAAAATCCAGTGTTAGTTTCATTAACAACTGAACCTCGTCATTGGTCCACAAAAAGACACAAAAATGTTTTCACGCTTGTCATCTTCCACGGCTCGACATCAGCTGCTGCAACTTCAGACACGGTGCTCCACTTCCTTGTTTTTAATTGCCCACGTTTATGCTTCGTTACTGTGTGGATAGGGAAGGCTTTGACTGCGGACATAGAAACAACGTGTCTGGATGCAAATGGTTTCCGATACGGTGATTCGTTTCAGTGTAAACGTAACCTGAAGAAAACCACTGGTGAGCAGTCGAAACTGTCAGGTATGAAAACAGGGTAACAACAGGGTCTTCAAAAGGTCTTAAATTTCATGTTCGTAAATTAAGGCCTTAAAAGTCTTAAATTATGTAGTCCAGGTCTTATTTCTTTCACAAAAATTTAAAATTTCATTAGCCTATTTTTTGTAAACACAACCGGACTGCAGTGTGATGTTAAACGGAGGGAGGGGGAAAAAAACGGACGTGAAATCACATAACGTGAATAAACGTCTAATTTGGAGTATGTGCAAACAATACTTCGGTTTCTGGTGTCGGCGGCAATGAGTAAACAGTCAGTAAAGTCAGTAGAGTGGAGGAAGGAAGACATTGGATGGATCATGGGGAAGTGCAGGTTTAATCCACAGTGGCTCTTAGATTCTAGATATAGGACCAGTAATTGTTTGGTCATTATAATTGGTGTTTGTCGCCCGCATAATGGGTGCGATGTTGGTCTTAGTTTTCATTTAAGTGGCCTTAAAAAGGTCTTTAAAAAGTCTTAAATTTGGGGTAGTCAAATCTGGGGATACCCTGGAAAACAAACTCCTGGTCTGAAAAAAGTCTAATAACAAACGGTGTTGAATAATTATGATGCTCTGAATGCAGAAGGTAAGTGAGGAAGAACTTTGGACCACTGCAAACTGTTTAAAATAAACTAATTCTGCTTTCCACGTTTTTAACACAGTCAAAATCAAGTACAGAAACTTGAATTGCCCAGCCCTAAACTTCCCTAAGATGTCTGACTCTAGTTTGTTTACAAATGTTAATCATATTTAATCACAATACCTGAAAAAGATGGTAGTAAATAGTTTATTAAGTGTTGTTTGTGTCACAGGTCGGACAGAAAGAGGAGCTCGGCCGTGTGAGCAGACCGTCCCCCCGCGTACGAGCCGGAGTCTGTATGTGGAGCTGAGCGTGGGGCTGTGGGGGCGTGTCCGGTTACCACGGCGACGAGGGTGCCTGGCCACCACGGCGACCACGGATACGAGTCAGAGCCGCGCGGTGGAGCTATCCCCTTCTGTAGCATCTAGAACTGTACGGCCCGCGGACTTTTCACACCAAATACTACCGAAGAAAATATTTGGGTTTCTGAGTACCACAAGATCTAAACCAGGTCTAAAGTAGGACTAAACCTGGTCTTAAACAGGACTGAACCATGGCTTAAGCAGTTCTGGATGAAAAAAAGAAAAATATACTTGTGTTTAAATAGGTTGCGTTCACAATTTGATGCCATAATTTCAAATGGAGGGAAGGGGCTTGAAAATTTTTATATTTTTGAAAGAAATCCCCAAACGTTCAGATCTACAAATGTTGAACGTTTTCATTATTTGTTTGGAATTGGCTCCACAAACTTGTCATTGTCATCTTGCGGCTTAAAATCCTTTAAACCAGTGTTTCCCAAACTTTTTTTTTTCTGGGGTCCAATATTTCAAAAACCTTTGCGACATTATCATACATCACAAAATAAAAGTGGATTTGACCTTTACTGAACATTAATGAGGATATTTTAGTGTCTCTCTGAACAATTAGTATTACTCAAGTTTTAAACAAAGAAAAACAGTCGTCGAAGCAGCAATAAAAGGATCCATAAGTCGCCTGATTGAACATTAAACTTAGCCCATTTCTTTTTCTTTTCAACATTCAATTGAACCAGCAATATTAGGCTAAAATAGTCAATAAAATAATTACAAAATGATTAGAAATTAAACAAAACATGTCTTAACATTTCAGCATTTCTAATGAGATAGGTGGGCCTGTTTGTTTTTTTGTAGCGTGTTTCAGTCCGGGTGCAGGAGGAGACTAATGATAAGGTCACAGATCCATGTACAGTGGTCCCTCGTTTAACGCGGGGGTTACGTTCTAAAAATAGGTGAAATCCACGAAGTATTCAACTTTATATTTTACAATTATTATATCTGTTTTAAGTCTGTAAAACCCCTCACCACAAACTTTATACACTTTTCTCACACAGGACAATTACAACCCTTTTTACATCCTTCTTAAAACTTGTTGCTGCTGTCGTCCTTTTGTTATTTTCCTCCTTCTTTATCTAACGAAACAGAAATTAAGTTATTCCGTAATGGAACCCTACAGCGCAGAGTCCTGTACGGGTCCATTTTTGGAGACCGGCACCCGCACAGTACAGGACCGCACCCGCCCGCACCCGCCCGCACCCGCCCGTGAACCTGGGATTACATTAAACTTTTGCGCTGCCTATGCCACGGACTGAACCAAGACTAAACCAGGACTAACCCAGGACTAACCTAGGCCTGATTTCAGGATTGAAGAGGAGGACTAAACTAGGACTGAGCTAGGACTAAAACAGGAGTAAACCAGGACTAAATTAGAACTAAACCAGGACTGAACCAGGACTGAACCAGAACTGAAACAGGACTCACTGTCGGGACGGGCTCGGAGGTGACACACGCAGAGCTCCACACCTCACAAAAGTAAGCGCGGCAATTGCCCGATCGCGCTTTGTGGACACCCTGCCTCACTGTTCTCTCTCTTAAGTCCAAGATTGGTCCTGGTTTAGACCTGGTTTAGTCCTGACCCACCCGTAATTACTACCCACACGTAATGCGCAAAAAAAGCATACAAAATTGCACCAAAAAAAATCTGCGAAACAGCGAGACCTCGAAAGGTGAACCTCGATATAGCGAAGGACGACTGTACACAACTGTATATTTCAGACCTACATGTAGATCGGGACAAGGCGACCCAAAAAATAAAAAATCTCTTGCGACCCACCTGAGGATCGCGACCCAGTCTTTGGGAAACACTGCTTTAAACTGACCACAATCACGTCTTTGGGTTTGAAGAATGGCACCACTTTCTGAAGCTGTTGTGAAAAGATAATTTGACTTTTGTGCTTTTATTTTGACAGATGAGACGTTGAACTTTGCGTCAGTTTTTGTTTCATGTGGATAGGCCCAGTAATTACAGAAATATGAACCATAAACCAGGTCAACAAATCTGTGATCTGAGAACTGTAACCCGTCCTCCAGCTCAGTTTAAATGATCGGTTCTTAAAAATATTGTGATATCTTGTGAACGCAGCCTATTAAAAACCTGTCCCAGAACTGCACAGGGCCCGGGGTACCACTAAGGGGGAGCGATACCACAGTTTGAGAAACCCCATACTAACGCTTCATTCACAGACTAACGGGACTGGCTGCCGTTTTACGTCCAGATTCCGAGTTTCTCCGTCTCTCTCATGTCTCACTGTGGAACGGTGTTAGCCGATGTTTACAGCCGTGTACTGCTGCAAAACCACTGCACTGTAAATGTGATGTGCGTTTGTGAAGCATGAGTCTGTCTCCATTCTGTTTATACTGAAGAACCCAACGAAAAACCGGGGCTGAAAACACAACGCAATGAGTTAGAGATCAGTGATTCGCCAACTTACCAAACCAAGAACCAACTCGCTTCTCTGTTCGACGGCTAAACCGCCAAGTTTGATTTCCCAGACAAAGTCGATCTTTTCAGGTCTTTTGAACCATATCACTTTTGTTTCTGGTACTGATATTGTCATATTTTAGTTTTGGGATTCGGACATTGTAATTGTGTGATTGTTGGATGTCCAAACAGCGGAAAACGGCTCGAGAAACAGGCTTCGGAAGTTTGTGAACTCCATAAATGCAAAAGGGAATCAGATGTGTGTGACTGCAAACCTCCGTTCAAACTGTTTCTCTTCCCAACAGAATTGAAAAATAGTGAAAGGTGAAGGCGATGGGCAGGATTGATCCACAGGAAGGACCAAAAATGAAACATTTGGCTGCCTAAGAAATCATCCTGAGTTTGCAGCGATGTGGAGCGCCAAAATTATTTTAAAATTATAAATTATTTTGCTACAGAGCTACAGTTCTGTTGCTTGTTTAGAGGAAGGAAACTTGTTTATGTGACACATTTGACATTTTCACATGAACTTTTGCACAAGAAGTGGTTTAACAGACACTTCTAATATCACAGCTGTGATTTAGCCTTTATTTTTTATTGAACCGTATTGAACTGATTTGACATTTATCGTATCGAATCAAAAGCTCACTGTATCGAGGTATGTATCATATCGGCAACTTAATGATTCCCAGCCTTATTTTAAATATCCATCACATATTTTCAAGCCCTCATATTCAAAATTCAGAGTAAAATTTGTAGTGAAAAAAATTTGCAGCAAAGATCCTAGATGCCAAGGCAGAAGCACTAAAATTCAGACATCTTGTTTCAATATTTAAAGGTGATTTTTTAATATACATTGAATATTAAACACTTGGAAAATGTACACTTAAAATTTTTTCGACTGCCATTCAGAATCAGAGTTAAATGTTCAATATTCATGGTCCTGTTTAGGAGTTTGATTTTCTACTAAAAAGTGAAAGTGACTAAGTAAAAAAACTGTTGGCTGTTGTTTAAGCGTACGAGTCAATTCACCTGTTGTAGTTCACACTGAATCAGCACTTTTTGGTCAGATTGTGTTAAAATAAAACTCAGATTAAAGTCTAACTTGAGTCTCAGACAGAGCAGAGCCTCCAGATAGCATCACAACCCTGGTCCAGTTCGGATTTTCTTGAGCCGTAACTTAAAATCATGAAAATAAGTAAAGATCCGTACGACTTCTTGCGTTGTGTTTTCCGTCCAGTTGCCCCAGACTTTGTGATACTTGGGTTTATATTGAATCACTGTGAGCTTGTACTGAGGGCTGAGCACCAGGAGGGGGCGCTGTGCTGGAGCTGATCAGATGCATGTGTTTGAGTGAGTGAGTGCGCCCCCTGTGGTTCAGACGAAGACACTGTAGGCACGTGTGGTCTGACAGGATAACAACGTGTAAATATGTAAAAGTACCATTAAACTCGTGACCCTCCTCACACTCTGTTTTATTTCACAAAACGATTTATACAAAAACACTCTGTTCCACCTTGTGATGTCATGTGGTGATACAGGAAGTGCTCCACTGTGATTTTAAACTCTGTACACCTTCACTGGAATCATTTGGATAATATCAGTCCTGAAATTGTTAATCTTGACTAAACAAAAGGTGAAAGGAGCTGTTAACTTAAACTATTTACCACTTCATGACATCACAAGGTGGAACCATAGACTGTATAAAAAAGTGGACTGAGTGAGTGGCTCCAGTCAAATCTCCAGTCACGAGGCCAGCGATTATGAGGTGAATTTGGAGCTGCAAAAAGTAAAATATTACTATAATATTATTAAGTGGAGTGTTAAAATTGACTCTCTCAGAAACAATTTTAACATTTTCTCAGGGTTTATATGAGTCCAGTCTGTTCTTGAGTTAATTTAACATTTTTTCATTAAGTAACACTGGACCAAAGTTCCTGTTTAGCCCCGAAATCAAGAGTTATATTAATGTTTTAAGAGTAAACGGATAACACTGTGTAGAGTTATCCTGATTTACCTAAACAGCACACAGAGTTGTTTTATTTTTACACTTTATTTCAGTTCATTTAAGATGAAATTATGTATGAAACTGGTTCAAACTGGTCTTCTCTCGCCGCAGTTTGAAGTGGTGGGTGGAGGAGCCAAATTAACACTAGTGGAAGTTGAATTAACACTAAGAAAAGTTGAATTAACACCAAATGAAGTTGAATTAACACTAAGGGAAGTTGAATTAACACTAGTGGAAGTTAAATTAATACTAAAGGAAGTTGAATTAACACTATGGGAATTTGAATTAACACTAAGAAAAGTTGAATTAACACTAAGAAAGTTGAATTAACACTAAAGGAAGTTAAATTAACGCTAAATTAACACTAAGGGAAGTTGAATTAATCAATCAACCATGTCAACTCTGGCAAATAACCCCAACTCGAACCCCCATTTAACTTTCAAATAGTTAAAATAACACTTTTTGTGTTAAAAACAACTATTTCACCATGACATTTTAAACCTCCACTTTTTGCTGTGTACGAATGAAAAATCACTTATGGACAAAATGGAGAAATAAAAACACCGGGATGATGTAGAGCGTAACGTTTTAAGACCAACACGATGAGTCTGACAGCAGCAGTTACAGAGAGAGGGCAACACTTTCTCAATTCAAAGTGAAATGGAGCCAGAGTCGATGGAGCCAGAAGCGCACCCATGCTCACTTCCCACTTGGAATGCAGTGACTAGAGGGTTAGATATGTTCATTTACAGTGTTGGGGAGTAACAGATTACATGTACTGGAGTTATGTAATCAGAGTACAAATTATGAGTAACTGTATTCGGTTACAGTTACTGTTTAAGTAAGTGGTAATTAGATTACAGTTACTTTGTTGAAATAAATAGATTACACGGTGGTATTTTCCTGTTTTCACATTTTGGGCTATATCCCTTTTTTTTTTTTTTTCGGTAATTCCACTCATTGCCGGACACTAAATCAGGTCTAAAACCAGGACTAAACTAGGACTAAATCACGTCTAAACCAGGACTAAACCAAGACTAAACCAGGACTAAACCAGGTCTAATCCAGATCTAAACCAGATTTAAACCAGGACTAAACCGAGACTAAACCATGTCTAAACCAGAATAAACCAGGTCTAAACCAGGTCTAAACCAGATCTGAACCAGGTCTAAACCAGATCTAAACCAGGTCTAAACCAGGTCTAAACCAGATCTGAACCAGGTCTAAACCAGATCTAAACCAGGACTAAGCCTGTCTTTTAGCAGATCTTATGTGAAGATGTCCTCATCTTTGCTTCTCTACAGCAAACCAAGTAATCCAAAGTATTCAGATTACATTACTCACTTTAAGTAATTTAATGGATTACGTTACAAACTACATTTCGGTGTGTGTAATCTGTAATCTGTAGGGGATTACATTTTAAAAATCACCTTCCCAACACTGTTCATTTATACATACAGTCTATGGGTGCAACAGAACATTTTAAGTTTTGGAGATTAGATTAGAAATACTTTATTATCCCGAAGGACCGTACATACATAATAATAATAACATAATAAGAATAACATCAGTTCAGTTACAGTGAAGCGTTGTACAGGCGTGTGGCAGAGCAGGACAAGGACAACAGACTCTCTCCACAGGTGCTCTCCTGTTCCCTGATGGTGCTGCGTCATGATGATGTGAATGAGTCAGGCTCTGCACCCAACACAGATCCAGCCTTTCCTCGCCAGCTCATCCAACCACCCAGCGTCCTTCCTCTTGAGACTTCCTCCTCCTCAGCAGACCACAGCGTTGAAGAGGACACTGGAGATGACGGTCTGGTAGAACATCAGCAGGAACTTCTGGCAGATGAACTTCAGTCTTCTGAGAAAGTACAGCATAATAACACAGGAATTATCAAACATTTGTGAATGAAACAAAACACAACTCCCAGTATGTTTTAGATCAGGGGAGACATATCCAACCTACTTCCCAAAGGGGCTGGATCAGAAAACTCATGTCATATAAACCCCAAAAATAACAATAAGTTCAAATATTTGTGCAGAGAAACTCAAATCTATTACAGAAATCTTTTTTATTTGATGAAGTCCATTTTTCTTGGAAAATCCTGCACTCGGCTCCACTTTTCTCATTTTTGACATTTTGCTGATGAGGGTGTCACGGTCAACAGTCAAAACGATCGTCCTTTAAAAGCGTTTGGAAAGAGACAAGTCTTCATTTGTGCTGCTCTGGTGGGAGGGGCCACGTACAGAGACGCTGGAGACGCTGCTGTGATAAACACCACAGAAACTTACCAATATTTTAATAGAAAATATAATTAAAATATTTTAGTAGAAAATCAGCCGAGGGCCAGATTAAAGGTCTTGAAGGGCCAGATCCGGTCCCTGGGCCGTATGTTTGACACCCCTGTTTTAGATAAAGCACATGACTTAAAGCTCACAAGAGTCAATTTTGCAGAATATGTTGACCTTTAAAAACAACTTTAGTTTATTTTTACTTTAGTTTAGAACAGGGGTGGGCAATTATTTTTCCATGGGACCACATGATAAACGGAAAATATTGTAGAGGGCCGAGCCAAAATACTTCACTCATTGTACTGTATTATAACTCAATAGTATTTCTGGTCAGACTGGTAAGAGATGACTTAGCAAAAAGTGAGGCAGCCTTACAAAAAATGTCATTTAAAAACACACCTTTAAAATAAAAGCGATGCAGCTTTAGTCCATGTATGAGGTAAAATTATAAAGTATGTTTATTTTGTAATCCCAAATTATTTTAAAGGGGCCGGTCAGAGTCAAACAAAGAGCCGTGTGTGGTCCCTGAGCTGTACAATGCCCAGGTCTGGTTTACAGAAAAGTTATAAATTATTAATTCAAATTCATAAATCAAATAAATAATTGATTCAGTGATAAGTGAAGAAGTTTATCAATCAACTAAAAATGTGATATAAAAAGTTTTGACTTTGTCTTGAACTTCTGTACTTCAGAACACGAAGAAGAAACTTGGATGAGCTGCGAAACATTTTCGACCGTTTTCGAAAAAGTTTGTCCAGTTGCTGAAATTAATTTCTCCTTTGCCATGAATTCTGGGCGGCTGAGAGATTTTACACACTTTATGATTCTTGATTCATTGTTTGTTGAGGCATATTGATCATTTATTTATGAAAATATATATTTAATAAATGTATTAATATTAAATAATGTATAAATTGCTATGTGTTACTTATCAATATCGACAGTGTTGTGAAGGTGACTTTTAAAATGTATTCCCCTACAGATTACAGATTAAATATCCCGAAATGTAGTTTGTAACATAATCCATTAAATTACTTAAAGTGAGTAATGTAATCTGAATACTTTGGATTACTTGATTTGCTGTAGAGAAGCAAAGACGAGGATATTATAGCATAAGATGTTTTGTCTGCTAAAAGAAAATAAAAAGCCCAGACTTTACTAAAAATATTATTGATAGAAGACGAGGAGACACGGTCCACACAACATGGTTTACACCTGGTTTAGACCTGGTTTAGTCCTGGTTTAGTCCTGGTTTAGACCTGGTTTAGTCTTGGTTTAGTCCTGGTTTAGTCCTGGTTTAGACTTGTTTTAGTCTTGGTTTAGTCCTGGTTTAGACTTGTTTTAGTCCTGGTTTAGTCCTGGTTTAGCCCAAAATGTGAAAACAGCTAAATACCTCTGTGTAATCCATTTATTCCAACAAAGTAACTGTAATCCAATTACCACTCACTGAATCAGTAACTGTAACTGAATACAGTTACTCATAATTTGTACTCTGATTAAGTAACTCTGGTACATGTAATCTGTTACTCCCCAACACTGTAAATCGATTTTATTATATTTTTCTCCAGTTTTTTTTTTTCTCGATTCTTCATTCACATTTACGCTGAGTCACGTCTCCTCAAAGCCCCGCCCCCTTTGCGCCGCGTGATGCGTGACGTCATGACGCGTCCGGGATGTAAAACCAGCAGCGGCGGCGGTGCACGTTAGGTTCGTGTCACAACATCACCGATCTGTGACCCGCAAAAGTCCAACTCCAGGACCCGAGGACAGGACCAGAGGACGGGACCAGAGACACCGAGAGCACCGAGCGGCGCTGACGGGACCACGGGGACTATTTAAAGGCGTTTTAGTCCAGAAGCAGCCTGTTTATTACGCGGATATCTGGAGCTAGCCTCAGTAGCCAACAGGTGAACGTTCCCCCGCCGCCGTTGTGTAAAAGCTCGGCGTGTTTCCAAGGTCGTCGCGGGTGAAGGAGCTCCCCGGGTCAATAATCACTGAACATCGGTGTGAAAAACGCGTAAAATCCCGTGTCTTCACCTTATAACTACAGCCGAGTCCCAGCGAGTCGGATCGAGCTGCGCTGCGCCACTTCCTGGTGTCGTTCATTCGAGGTCATCGGCACCGACCGCCGCGCTCTTCCACCGCCGGGACCCGGGCACAGGCATGAAGAGTCTACCGTACTTCTGCCGCGGGGAGGTGGTGCGAGGCTTCGGCAGAGGGAGCAAGGAGCTGGGCATTCCCACCGGTGAGTCCCCTTCCCCCAGCCGCCTCCACAGACAGCCCGGGCACAGAGCTCCGTCCGCGGCCATGACGTCCGCGCACGCCCGGGCACACGGAGGCTCCGGGTTTATCCAAGGACTTCAGATGGATGAAGTCAATTAGAACCGTTGCCATAGAGATTAACAATTTAAAAATACTAAAAATGAAAATGTTGCCTATAAATGAAAGATGAACCCATGAATATTGCAGTAGTGTTGTAACTGGTACAATCTACTCTAAAAGAAATATTTACTGGTCAGAGGTGGTAAAGTAGCCAAATATTTTGCTTATATAAGAGTAACGTTACTTCAAAATAATATTACTCAAGTAGAAGTACAAACTGGATGTCCAAGAAACTCAAGTAAGAGTAGAAAAGTATTTGAGAAAAGTACTACTCAAGTAAAAGAGTAACTATCTTCACATAACATCTGATTTCTACTTTAACATTTATGTAATTTGAAGAACTAAACATTAAATAATTCACAAAATCGTGTATTTTCAAAAGACACACAAAAATGAGACAAACTAAAGTGCAAGTCTAAAGTTTGTCCAAGTCTAAATCATATGTGAAGGAGCCACAAGTAACATAAATCATTTCATATTGTCACACAAAGATTTTGTTACTTTAGACTCACTCACAGTGGGAAGAGGAAGAACAACTTTTTATCAAATGTTAAACATTACTCATGAAGGAGTAAAAGTATGCTGCTAGAAAATGATTCGGAAAAGTACAATTTCTGTAAAACATTACTCAGGTAAATGTGTAACAATCACACAGAGTGCAGATGATTACAAATCAAAATTATATATCAACTGTAGAGGTGTAAAGATATGATATGATATTGTCACTGTATGAACCTCACAGTACGATATTTATTGCGATATTGTTGGGAAAGCTCACGATATTATCATATTATACATAGTAGACTTATAAAATGCTTTGACCAGTCAATTGTTACAACATTTATTGTCATATTCTAGAGATGTAACAATATCAAAATCTCTCAGTACGATATTATCACGACATGCATCTCACGGTACGATATTTATTGCGATATTTTTGAGAGGCTGATATAATTGTAGATGGGACACTTTTTTTGCTTTTAAAATACCTTGACAAGATTTTGGGGTGATTTATTACCGTCATAGTCCCAAAAATTCAACTAAAAACATATTTCTTCATGTTGTCTGCACTGAAATGAATCATGGGATATGTAGTTCTTATGTTTATAAACTGTTGCTACTATAAAACCATGTATTTAAGCAAAGGAATTTGTAATTCGATATATTGTGAGACTTTTGACGATACGATATCACGATATTTCAGGTTTTATTACATCCCTAATTAACTGGGTAAATTATTTTTCTGATTTATAATTAATCTGCTTGTAATAATAAATAAATAAATAAGTGTAAGTGCCTGTCTCTGGTAATAGTAGGCTTAATTTGTATGTTTATAAAGTAAAATAAAGCACATAAATAAACCATAATCATTGTAGCATAAATAGCATTTTCTATCATTTTTCCTCAGTCCCTGCTCCTTCCAAATGCACTTACGTCTAATTCACTTTAAACACACAGACCGAGTCACGGCCACAGACACTGAGACTCACGATCTGTTCTGTTAAAAGCAACATTTTCAGGACTTTAGTTTCTCCCTTTCAGAAAATAAAATTATGTAGCAATACACAATAAGTTATGTTCTTAATCACTATGGCAACGATTGTAATTTTGCATCATTCAGACATTCAGCCGGTGTTTCACTGAAGAAAACTGATGATGACAAATGAATCATCTGGATAATGAGTTATGTGGAAGATCATTTGTCATTTCGGATTTTGAATTTGAATTTTTAAACTCTGAAAATAAGTGTTTGGATCATTTTTATTCTGAAGTATTCATTTTCAGCGTTTTTAAAAATTCAAAATATAAAATTCACCTTGTAAATATTCAGCACTAATATTTTCAAGCCCCCAAATTCGACAGCCAAAATTCAACAGTGTAAAATTTGCAGTGAATGAAAATGTGCAGGAAAGATCCAAGACCTTAGGAATCAATCCAAAATGATCCGATCTAATTTAGTAAAAAACAAGAAATGGTGCTGAATTAACCTCATCAAAACCTCTGCTGAATATTTAGAAGGTGATTTTTAAATTTTTTTTTTTTTTTTAAACACTGAAAATGTATATGTAAAATTTCAGATAAAAAATTATTCACATTCAAAGTGAGAATTTCAACAGCATTCAAAGTTTAATGAAACAAAAATAATCTTCCGTACAGTTGAGAGCAGCGTTTTAATTTTAATTTCACTGGCCGACAAGTCAACGCTGTGGTTATTTTTTTATTTACAAACTGATAAAGCCCCAAAATGTCAACGTCATTCTCGTGCATTTAACCCCTTTAAAACGACCCAATCTTTGTGATAAAACTCTTAATTACATTTCTGCATCTGCTCTGAGGTTGTTATTACTGATTATCAAACTGACCACAGTAAATGTAATTAGTGGTAAACACAGACACACAGACTCCTGTCCTCCGTCAGAGAAAGGCTCAGGCTACGTCCACACGACAACGCTCCTGGATATTTTTATTTTTTTGCGTCCCCACACGTGTCGGATCAATAAATATTCACGTCGACACGACAATGGAGCACTGAGTGAAAACAAAGTAATACACATGCCATACCTGTATGTGGCGCTGTTAACAATGATAATAATATTTAATAATACAGATCTCATCACCATTTTATTAACTTTAGGTAATTTAGTCTGTTTTAGATGTGTCCCAGAAATATAGCCTTTTTTTTTTTTTAGCCATAAGATTTTGATGAGAATTTAGAGTAACTTGGTCTCAAAATCCAACAGTTTAATTACCAGTGTGTAGTCTTTGTTCTTGATCCGTGTGTGTAATCTGTGGTGCGTGTTGTTAACATTAGGGTTAGCGGCGAGTCTCGGTTGTTGGGCGACGGGAGCGACCCTGTAGTCTGCACCTGTCACATTTCGGCAATAGTCTTGTGATCCGCAGAGGCCAGTTCAAGGGCTGCCTTCGCTGCATCGGAGGACTGACGATGACGGGGTCGCGACGTCATCGTTTTCCAAAAGCTGCGGTTTATTCGTCCACGCAACAATACAACGCCAGCGTTTTCAGATTTCTCCACTCTAGATCCCGTTCTCAAAAAAACAGTTTTTCGCCCACCTCCATGTGGACGAAAGACCAAAGCAAATACAAACTTCACCGTTACTATCAAAAAAAGTTGTGGTGTGGACAGGCCCTCAGCTACTGTCAAATCACACAGTGTCTTGTTTGAAATGAATAGATTTCATACTCAAATACTGATTCCAGTACCATGATGATAACAAAAACACTTTTAGACAACAGAATGTGATTTTCAACATTAAATGATCGTACTTTCTTTTCTATTCCCATGTGGCTTATGTCTGTGTTAGGGATGGGCATTCGATGAAATTTTCTTAATCGATCGTCGGAAGAATTAACAATCGATTATCGATTAATCATTAACGTTTTTATATTAAAATGATCATCATTATTATTACTATCTGCACTACTAATCTGCATAAATAAATTCAACTTTACGACATATAAACCGTAACGACTCTAGAGCCACATCAGCCCGTTTGACATTATAATGTGTTTAATTCAGTTTTGTTCAACTCTCACAGAAATGAAACTTAAAACCACATCACTAATTTGCATAAACTCAGCGAAGATAAAACTACAGCTCTTGTGTCGCTGATGCGGTTCAATTTCTGTCAGATTAAAAGACACGACTCAGGTGAATACAGGTTAGTGTGACCAGATTTGCGTTTATCAAAACCAGGACACCGTACGGGGGGAGGGAGGCGGGGACTCGTCATCGACATTGAGCGACTCTCACCTGGTAAAACTTTTTCCCTCTGGACACAGAAACATATGTGCTGCTTTATACACTGTGCACATGGACTCACACTTGTCCCGAACGCAACGGAAAGTGTGGAATTTCTTGTACAAATCATCGTTAAATCCACATTTGTGCTTCGGTACGTTGCAGACTGACCCACTGTTTGTGTCTCGCTCCTTCTGATGCAGAGACACATGTACACACCTGTTTGGTCACGATACACACAGCAACCTACATGCGGTTTGTCGATTAAAATGAACGTAATTGAGGAAATTCTTAATGATCAATTATCGATTAATCAATTAATCATGCCCATCCCTACTCTGTGTGCTCTCTTAGTGCTGCAGGTGCACTGAAAAAACGGTCTGAGAGGGGCTGCTCAAATTGCAAACTCAAATTTGACAACAATAACATGATTTTTGTACGAGTCTCTGTCCAGCATGTTTAAATTTTACAGAGGCAGTTTGATTCTGACCAATGTTAAACTGTGTATTTTAATCACGCCGTCACAATTGTCACGTTGTGTTTTCAGCCAACTTCCCCGACTCTGTGGTGGAGCACCTGCCCGCAGACATCAGCACGGGCATCTACTACGGCTGGGCCTGTGTGGGCTCCGGAGACGTCTACAAGATGGTCATGAGCATCGGCTGGAACCCGTACTACAAGAACACCAAGAAGTCCATGGTCCGTGAACGCACCACGCTTCTATGTGCACTTACACGACCACACAGAGAAGTATTGATAGTAGAACAGTATTTGAGCTGGATTTATTCATGCGTCAGACTTCGTGTGTGTAGAATAATCCCTCAGGGCCCAGTCTGTGTGTTTCTCATTTTATAAGTGTGACTAAACCTTTGAAATAATGCACCATTTAAATAGTAAAGTTAGTCAGTGTCTTTGGAAACTCCAGGACTAAAAGAGCAGAGAATATTTAGATTTTCCATGTGGTTTGGAAAATCTGAAGTTGACTCGAGGGTCAGAATTATAAAGTCATGTGTGATGTAGTTAGTGTCATGAGAGACTGATCAAAGAGGAGGTAAAAAAAAAAAGTAAATTATCAGACAAGCAGACAAGATTTCATAAAGAGCTTTTAACATGGAAGTCAGTGGATTTGTTTCTTTTATGAAATAATTTTGCATCAGCATTATGATTTAAAATGTCCACATTATAAAATCCACGAGGGTCAGAGATTAGCTCGTTTGCTCAGAGTCTCTTTCCTCTGAGAATTTTACTCCAGAGTTTGTTCCACGTCTGTGACCAGGATCAGACTCAGGATCATGTGCTCGCGTCTGTCTACAGACTTACACGTAAACACAGTCCTGTTTCTCACACGAGGAGCTGGGTCAGTCCGTATGAAATCAGCCGCCCTCCCCTATGATCCATCTCAGATTTGGCTGAAAAAAATGTCTAAAATTACCACATGGAAGAATCTAAAATTTTACCTTAATCCCTTCAGTTGTTCATGAGTTATAGTCCGTTGAAATTTTGGGACCATGCTCACTTTTTTGGAAACCTTAATTTATAAACATGTTTGAGAGACCATAACTTGATTAAAAAAAAGAGCTAGGAAGATGAACATGTGTATTAGTGTAGATTCTTGGTCAAAGATACGAAATCTTTTGTCAAATATTGGGTATTTTTATTAAGGGTGGCCCTCAAAATCTTGGTTTGGTCATTTTTTTTTCCATTTTTCCTGTCCAAGATCTATTTACTCCAAGCAGATATTTACACACTAACTGCTGAACCTGAATATTTGAGAGAATGACCATTTCTGACACAAATCTCACACTTTTCTGAGTTTTCATGTGGATGATGTAGAGTCCCAAATATGGTCATAAACCAGATGTGATCTTTTTGGGCCCTTCTTTGGAGCCTCGGTTCCCCGTGTGGGCACAGTTAGATGTTGATACATGTTTTACCAGAGAAACTTTGGCAAATTCTGATTAGTTTAAAGTCATAAAAACATCTACTATTAACTTCCTTCATTTCAAACGGAATTTTTGACAATGAGCTCTCACGGGTCATTTTTGGTGGAACTTAGGGACTTTTCCAGCTGTTGGCAAGGTTAAATTACCTTTACCTTTAATAGCCTTAAACATGAATTGCTTGTTATAAGGGAAGACAACAAAACAGCTGATTTCATACGGACGGATCCAGAGGGAGATTTAGAAGGGTCCTAGGAGAAATTAAATTATACTGTGATTACTTAATACTCAAATTTATAATGCAAATGTAACAAGTGACTATGAGTTGATCTCAAGTATGAAAATGTGTCGGCGATGGTTGAAAAAAGTAAAATTTAAATAAAAGTAATCCATCTTTGAATAACGATCCTGCCGTGTCCAGGGCAGTGAGGGACAGACCGACCTCGCACATTTGTTCTTTTATATCAGCACATATCAGTGTTTAGGGTTTAGTCGTGATGTTCAGTGTGAGTCGCTCTGAGCTCTGGTGTAGACTTCAGTTGCAGTTGTGTCTGTGAGAGATAAGAGCTTCGGAGAACAGAGGAGGGGAACATGTGACAAATGATCCAGTCAGACGCAGGATCGATACAAACACAATGGAGAAAAGATTAAATAAAAAGCTTTAACTGTACAGCCCCAGGTTTGATCGTGTGTTTGTGTGTTTGTGCAGGAGACTCATGTGATCCACACGTTTAAAGAAGACTTCTACGGGGAGGTGCTGAGTGTGGTGTTGGTCGGATACATCAGACCAGAACGAAGCTTCGACTCTTTAGGTAAATACTCCTCCTCCTCCTCCTCCTCTCCTCCTCCTCCTCATCCAGATACAAACTGGATCTGACAGCTGCTTGTTTCTGTGTCATTTCTTTGTCTGGAATATTCCACAGTATGTCCTTTAACTTTTGTATCTCCGTGGAGACAAGCAGGTGATGCCACGAGGCCAATTTACAGGTCAGATCTGTGAAGTTCTCACGGTAACGCCTCATTTAGACCTGCTCATCTGGTCAAACGTGCGTACGGCCGTGTCACACATTCCAGTGTACATCGAGTGCGTGCGTCCGGTATTTCTTTGAAATTTGTAGAACAATTGCCATTTTAAAACCTTTTAATAATCACCAATTTACTTAACAAATCCTGAACATGTCCACGAGAGACACGAGCAAAACTGAAATCCACCTACAGATAAAGTTTTGTGCAGTGTTGATGTTCATGTCAGGTTTTTAATTTCTCTCCAGTGACCAGGTCAGGAATCAGAATACACTAGACGAGCTGTGAAGCCAGCAATTACTTGGACATTACTGAGCGTTCCGGCGCATTACATACGTCTCGACCAAACAGCAGCGATTGATTAAATAAAAAAATACCCACCTACTGTCGAGCGAACGAATCCTAATGCTGCGAGGTCAGACCGGCTTAAAACAGCTGGTACAAAGTCATTTGTACCACTGCGGTGTCCGTCAAAAATCCTCCATGTGTATTTTTAATCAGAGACGTGGAGTCAGTGGAGTAAACGTCTCATTTCATTTGAACTAGTGACGGGCGAACGGAGCCTCGTGAAGCAGTGACACGTCAGGCGCAATAATGTCTCAAATGTTTCAACATGTCTGAGGCCTCGGAGAAACACTGACCTCTAGTGGACAAATTTAACCATTGTCACGCAGGTGTTCTCAGCATCGATGAAGTATGTTTCGGTGTCCAGTGGGAAAAAGTTTTACCAGGTGAGAGTCGCTCAATGTCGATGACGAGTCCCCACCTGTCCCTCCCCCGTACGGTGTCCTGGTTTTGACAAACACAAATATGGTCACACTAACCTGTATTCACCTGAGTCATGTCTTTTAATCCGACAGAAATGAACCACATAAGACAACAGTTGTGTGCAGAGCGACACCGTACCTAACAACAACAATAATGATGATTTAAAATAATATGTACAGAGCAACATAAATAACATGCTGTAAATAAGAAAATAGGTGTTGCCTTGTTCGGTGGAATTAAATCAAAGTGATGCCAAACCATGGATCACTTTTTTCCACTTGTAGACGCCATCGAAAATGAAACAAAATGCCAAAAATCGCCAAAATCACCACTAACGTCACACAATACTCCTCACTACCCAACGTTTTTAAGAAATATTGGTGCATCTTTTATACTGTAGCAGTTTAGCGCTTGTCAAATCACAGAAGTGCTCTGAACAAATCGCAGAGCGGAACATTCGCCGAGCCAATCAAACGCTTCGATACACTGAAGTGATTGACATGCAGAGTGAAGCAGTCGGGGGAGGGACCGATGCTTCTACACTTTGGTCACGTGAGCGGCTGCTGCGAGACGAGCTCCGAGGCAGAGCTTCAGAACAATTTGTTTCAGAAAGAGCGAGACGTGCTCCGGAGCTCCGACTTATTTGCCCGTCTCTAATTTGAACACATCCTAACTGTCATGATAAACGTGTGGGGATTGGACCAGAGACGCTGAAGGAACATTTTGAAGCACGATGTAGGGAAGGCTCACCGACACAGAAACGACGTGTCTGGACTAGGGATGGGCATGATTAATCGATAATTGATCATTAAGAATTTCATCGATTACGTTAATTTTAATCGACAAACCGAATGTAAGTTGCTGTGTGTAGTCGTGACCAAACAGGTGTGTACATGTGTCTCTGCATCAGAAGGAGCGAGACACAAACAGTGGTCGATCAGTCTGCAACGTAACCGAAGCACAAATGTGGATTTAACGATGATTTGTACAAGAAATTCCACACTTTCCGTTGCGTTGGGACAAGTGTGAGTCCATGTGCACAGTGTATAAAGCAGCACATATGTTTCTGTGTCCAGTGGGAAAAAGTTTTTCCAGGTGAGAGTCGCACAATGTGGATGACGAGGCCCCGCCTCCCTCCCCCCGTACGGTGTCCTGGTTTTTGACAAACGCAAATCTGGTCACACTAACCTGTATTCACCTGAGTCATGTCTTTTAATCCAACAGAAATGAACCACATCAGCGACACAAGAGCTGGAGTTTTATCTTTGCTTAGTTTATGAAAATTAGCGATGTGGTTTTAAGTTTTGTTTCTGTGACAGTTGAACAAAACTGAATTAAACACATTATAATGTCAAACGGGCTGATGTGGCTCTAGAGTCGTTAGGTTTATATGTCGTAAAGTTGAATTTATTTATGCAGATTAGTAGTGCAGATAGTAATAATAATGATGATCATTTTAATATAAAAACGTTAATGATTAATCGTTTAAGAAAATTTCATCGAATGCCCATCCCTAGTCTGGACGCAGATCGTTTCCGATACGGTGATTCGTTTGAGTCTTAAACACGTTCACACACTGTAACGGCGTCTCTCTCTCTCCTCTCGCCCGCAGACGCGCTGATCTCGGCCATAAACGGCGACATCGAGGAGGCCAAAGTGAAGCTGGACCAACCCGAGCACCTCAAACTCAAGACCGACAACTTCTTCAGCAGCGCCCCCCACAGCCCGTCCGCCGCCACTACAGCCGGGAACAGCAGCATCATCAACGGACACTGACCACCACCCTCCTCCTCCTCCTCCTGACCTCGACCGCCGCCGTGGCTTTACTTTCAGACGTTTCCATGGCGACGAGCACTCACCTGCAGCTGACGGTTTTGTTCATGTTTTCGGACCTTTTTTTCAGGAAATGATCCGCGAATATAAATGAGAACTGGAATCAGATCTTTTTCATGGTGTTCAGTGATTTGAAAATGTAAATTATTATTTCACATTTTGTTCATTGTAAACTGTGTTTTTTTTTTTTTTTTAATTAAATTAAACTGGTCCTTTTGACGTCGTGTTAAATTGCACCGTGGAACTTTTCAGGTGGAGGTTTCAGGAAAATTGCGAAATTGAGCTCTTTACCACATTATTTCATCAAAAACTTGCCTCAAGACGTTTTTAGATGTCACCCATACATGTTTGAGTAATCTAGAGATCTCTCCCGGGCCCAACTCGAACCCTTTTTACGGTTAAAAGCTCTAAGATTCTGTCCGATAAATATACAAAAGCAAAATACAAAACGATACATAACCATTACAGATTGACAAACCTGACGCACGTAAAGTTTTAACATCTCCATGGAGACCAGAAAAGTTACACAGTGCACCTTTTTTAGGCTACGTTCAGATTGCAGCCTGAAGTGACCCAAATCCGCCTCTATGCTCCTGTATCTGATCTTCTAATGACAGTCTGAACGACACAGATCCGATTTTTTTATATATTTTTTTTAAATGCGACCCAGGACACTTGGATATGTGCTCCTAAAACCAATACACATCCGATCTTTTGACACGCGACTTCAGTGTGAACGGACAGGTCACGTTCACCACACCTACACGTCACAAATGTACACAAACGTTCTTCTCGTCAGACGAAAATTGTGTCTAAACTCCGTGTCAGTGAAGTACAGATCCTTTCTACGGACGTTGCTGCTGGTGCCCCACAAAACGCCATGAACCCCAAAAACCTCATCCTTCTCCTCAATCTCCTCCTTTAAAGGAACAGTTCAGAATTTTGGACATAGGACCTCATTTCCTAGTGAGCCAGAGTGTTGGAGACGTCACATGTGGAGACACTTTTTTAAAATATTCCATCCAGTCCTTGTATTTGCAGAGGTCACTGGTGCTAGACTAGTGCATGTCAATGGTCATAGTTTATCCTGCCACTAAAAACAGTCTTACCCACTCCACAAAACACCCTGTACAGGTCAGTAGGCCTAATTAACTAACAGAAACTGTAAACAAGTAGGTGTGTTAGTTTCAGTGTAGTTCACTCCTCCCTGCAGACAGATATAAGGAAGTGTCCACCAGCGTCTGACCAGAACTGAAGAAGCAGCTTGGATGAGCTGCGAAACGTCTTCAACCAAACTAACTTTTGTCCAGTCGACAAACTGAATTTTTCTCCTCACAAAAACACCCGAAGAAAATCTATCATTACACCAGACTGTCCATGTGAATGTCTGTGTTGGTAGAATAATTTTAGAAGTAAAACTAACTTTGTATTTGAAGGATTTATGTCTGAGCAGCAGCAGCAGCGAGTTGTGCGGACTGATATATGAGAAAATAGTCCCTCAACATGCGACGATTCATGCGACGCAAGGTTATAGTTTTATTTCATTCACATGGACAGTCTGGTGTAATAACAGATTTGTCTCGGGTGTTTTGTGGAGTGGGTAAGACTGTTTTTAGTGGCAGGATAAACTATGACCATTGACATGCACTAGTCTAGCACCAGTGACCTCTGCAAATACAAGGACTGGATGGAATATTTTAAAAAGTGTCTCCACATGTGACGTCTCCAACACTCTGGTTTTATGTCCAAACTTCCGAACTGTCCCGTTAAAACAAATAATCTGTACGTGTTCTGGCTCGACAGCAGCTTTAAAATCTCCTCTTTTGGGGCGTTTAAAGTTCACGCTCGAGATCACAAGTCGCGTTTAATTGGAAATGTGGATTGATTTCACAAAAAAAGTCCGAATTGAGCTTTAAACCCTGCAGTCTGAACATAGCCTAAGTTAAATTCTCTTCCGTTGTCGCTGCCTTTTCGCCGCTGTCACAAGCAGCAGATTTTCGTTTACGATGTTTTTAATTGTGGAAAAAGAAGTGGTAAACCGACTTTTTTGTTTTTATCATTTGTGTATGAGCCAAAGTTTGAATTTACAAATGGAAAATCAGTACAGAGCTGTGGGCGGGGATAGGTGGTAGGTGCAAACAGATTTTTTTTTTTTTTAAAGCAATGACTGACAGAATTAATCAAACGTGCATGAATGAAAATACAACTTTAGTAACTCGGAAGTATTATATTTATATTGACTGATCCTTCGTTCGTCCAGGAGTGATTCGGTGCGGAGAAAGTTTCAACGGCGGTTTCTGTTTTCGCAATTTTAATGTAAAATTGGAACAGAAATGTCTTTATTTCAAAAACGTGTCTCGATATCTACAAAAGAAACCTCCTCTGTAACATTATTGTCGAAGGAATAATAATAATACGACATGGTTCAAAACTCTTAAAAAACATTTGACTTGAGTTTGGACGATTTTCAAATTTTTGCGTAATTTGTCGGGATAATAGAAATACAAAAAGTATTATAAATGACAGTTTTACGCAAATCAAAAAGACGCGATTAGTGAAGAAAAGTTGAAAAATATGTTGAAAAAAATGACAAAAAGTGGAGCGTTCTAAAACACACCAATGACATCGAACTGGGAAAATTCTCAAAGTCTGAAAGTTTACGTTAAAAAACACGTTATTTTGAACATTTTAAACGTGATTTCAACTAAATTTATAAGTTTTCTTATGTTTTTACTTGTCAAATAAAAACGTCGCTGCACATTTACAGTCAGAAAGACAAATATGAAGCCTAAAAAACCTTTAGTAGAATCTTAAATAGAATGATTTTAAGTGCGTTTTTGTTAAATTTAGTTATAATTACTAAATTATATTTAATTTAATGGACTGATTTGAAACTTTTTATGCAAAGTTTGAGGGGAAAAGAAGTCACTATCCACACATCACACTTATGTAAACAAAAGCCTAACGCTGCTTTTCTGTACTTTGTGTTTTAAGAGATTTACAAGAACGTTTAAGCACATTATAGCACAAATCTGTATTTTTACACACATATATATGATTACATAACAGCTGAACTATAAGTTATTCTCAATGTTTTCATTAGAAGTTCTATTTACTACAGTTTAAAGAAGTCGTACGTTTCTAGCAACATGTTTCCTCCTACTTGAGTAATGTTTTTATTGAAGTAACAGCACTTGGTTCCTCTTCCCACCGTGAGCGAGTCTGAAACTGGAGTGTCCAACCGTTTTTCTCCAGCGAGCTCCTTTACGAAACAAAAATGCCGGAGAGTTACCAATTTCTAGTCAGCAAAATCCTGATCCCTCACTCAACCTCGGTTACAAATTTAAAAAGTCTATGCCAAAGTGAAAGGCACCAACTGTTCACCAGGAAACACCTTCCACTGCAAAGAGACCAAGACGTGATGTTTCTGTAAAACCACAAGAACAAAGTGCAGCTCAGCCTGTTTGTCTTCTGCTCCTCTCCATTAACAAACAGGATTTTACTTTGTTGGTGCTCCATGTACAAAATGTTCACTGTAAACTCGGGATGATTTAGACCGGGGTGGGCAAACTACGGCCCGGGGACCATATGCGGCCCTTTAAACCTTTTAATCCGGCCCACCGAACTGGAATAAATTACAATAATAAACCTTGTTGATGTTTTATTTTTCATGCATTTCCGGCGTTTCCCAGTAGATGGCGCACTATATAAATATACATTATGGGAAAGTGTTCTTACAGGAGTTATTCGGACCATGAGTGAAGTAGTGGTGTTCAAGATATAACTTTGCACTGCTTCCATTTTGAGTTGGTAAAAATCAAAAACAAGAACTGTACAGATGTTGTGTTATAGGACTTAACCCACAGAACGTCTCAAAAGTCCTGTTAATTAGTAAAATTTAATTCCTCATAATTCACCTTCGCCTGTGGTGTGCAGTGGAGCGGATCTGTTGATTTTTGTGTGTTGCTGATCTTTCACGGCGATGTCGTAGTGCGCTTCCTACATAAGCGTAAATACGAATATAATGCAGCTGAGCTCTTAACACGTCATGTCCTGTGTTCTGTCCGGCCCTTCAGGCAAATTTTAGGACCTTATGTGGCCCGCGAGTCAAAAAGTTTGCCCACCCCTGATTTAGACAGACAAATGTTTCCTTTTTGGTTCTTCCTGTGGATCAATTCTGCCCATCGCCTTCACCTTTCACTATTTTTCAATTCTGTTGGGAAGAGAAACAGCTTGAACAGAGGTTTGAGTCACACACATCTGATTCACTTTTGCATCTATGGAGTTCGCAAACACATTTCTCGAGTTGTTTTCCGCTGTTAGGATCCAACAATCACACAGTTACGATGTCCGAATCCCAAAACTAAAATATGACAATATCAGAACCAGAAACAAAAGTGAAATGGTTCAAAAGACTTGAAAAGATCGACTTTGTCAATAGACACATCCCACTGGGAAAACAAACACGACGGTTTGATGCTCACTTTTTCGGAGGATCCTTCCCAGTGCGATGACCGGAAGTCCGAGATTCTTGATGCGTGTTTTGTCTGTTTACAATTGTCAAAGCAGGACAATATTAAACATACAAACTCAGGCTGCTGCTGCTTGGACTGTTCTGGACTCTTTGTCTTGGTCAGTGATTGGCTGAAAGCATTTTAAATTCATTGATTGGGAAAAACAGTGGGAGGATCATTATATGTAGAATAATTCGACGCATCAAATAAGCTTGTAATACGCGTCAAATAAGGTGTTAAATGCGTTAAATATATGTGTAAATGTGAACAGTTTGGCTTGTCATAGACTCTCTACACTTCTGATGATCGTCTGTTTTCTGTTTTGTCTTTTATGCAACTGTACGCTGCTTTGGTGACATTATTTATTGGTTCATTTTACATTTATTTTTTGTCTTTTTTTTTGTCATTTCCAATCAGCAGCTGACACTAAATACATTTTATATCAAGACGTTTTCCAGACGTTTGAAGAGACTCCACCAAACGTACTTTAACTCTGTACATTTGTCTGAACTTTGTAAATAATTATATAAATGATAAAGTCTGGATCTTAGATTTTAAACGTGAATGCTCTGATTAAAGTATTTAGGAAACAAACCTCTCGTTGTATTTCTTTATTTATTTTTTATTAAAACAGAATTGCAGTTTTACAATGATGATGAAGTGTCACAAAACAAGATTCAAAATGTCATTACAATAAGATTTCACTATTTTAAAGAAAATGATGATGTATCTGTTGTAGTTTCAGCTAAATCAGCTCTTTATGGTCAGATTGTGTAAAAAAAAAAAAAAAAAAAGCTGAGATTAAAGTATATCTTACAGAGCAGTGCCTCTAGTTCAGGGATCTCCAACCTTTTGTGTCCGGTGAGCTACGTTTACAAAAGGAAAATGCCGAAAAAAGAACTTGTCATTTTACCTGTAAATGTAGGAGGGCAGGTCTTGTGGTTAGGGGTGTGCAAATATATTGAAATATCGATATATCGAACCGTTTAATGTGATGATACAGTATTGATATGGTGGGCTGATGTATCGATACATCACCAAGAGTATTTTTTGATATATTTTACCAGCTACAGTTTTGTTGCTTGTTTAGAGGAAAGAAATTCATTTATGTGACACATTTGACATTTTACAGTTTTGATGATTAAAATGTTTGTGTTTCATATGAACTTTGTACAAGACGTGGTTTAACAAAGACTTTTAATATCACAGCCATTATTATTGAATTGTATGGAATTGAAAAGTGCACTGTATTGAAATATGTATCGTATCGTATCAGCCTGTGTATCGAGGTGTGTACCGTATCGGCAACTTCTTAATGATCCCCAGCTCCACTTGTGGTACAGTTAAATTCTTATAAAACATAAGAACATTATCCATTTATTAGTGCACAAAGTTCAAATTAACACAAATTTGAGTTATTCAGTACAGTTTGTACAATTCAGAAATCCTTTGGCGAGCTTCTTGTAAGAGGGTGGAGAGATACTGAAGCTCTCGAGCTACAGGTTGGAGACTCCTGCTCTAGTTTAATTCACTCACCCAGAGAATGTTGACGATAACTGATTAAACCAGGGGTGTCAAACATACGGCCCGGGGGCTGGATCCGGCCCTCCAAGACCTTTTTCTACTAAAATATTTAAATTATATTTTGTATTAAAATATTGGTAATTTTCTGTGGTGTTTATCACAGCAGCGTCTCCAGCGTCTCTGTACGTGGCCCCTCCCACCAGAGCAGCACAAATGAAGACTTGTCTCTTTCCAAACGCTCTTAAAGGACGATCGTTTTGACTGTTGACCGTGACACTCTCATCAGAAAAATGTCCAACATGAGAAAAGTGGAGCTGAGTGCAGGATTTTCCAAGAAAAATTTACTAAGAAATACTTCATCAATTTAAAAAGATTTCTGTAATAGATTTGTGTTTCTCTGCACAAATATTTGAACTTCTTGTTATTTTTGGAGTTTATATGACATGAGTTTTCTGATCCGGCCCCTTTAGGATCAAAGTAGGATGGATACGGCCCCTGGACCAAAATGAGTTTGACACCCCTGATTTAAAACTAATGGTCATTTATTTCACAACTAAATACCTCTGCTACTTTATATGAGTACAATTCAACAGTCTGTAATATCATTGTCCTAAAAGAAAGTGTGACGGTACATTTGTATATTTAAACATGTATTTCTAATGGATAAAACCTAAAATACCATCTTGAATGAGGAGTGCAAACTGAAAACACGTCACAAATCACATGTTTTCAAATTAAGGTATTTTTTTGAGCTTCACTTCAAACAGGCCGTGTCTGAGGACGGAGGCAGAGGTCTACAGAACTCTACAATCTAAATCTAAATCTCCAAACTTCTGATCCACAAATGTTGAAATGCTGTTTCCGTGACTTAAACTGCAATGCCGGACTGAACCAGGACTAAACCAGGACTGAACCAGGACTAAACCAGGACTGAACCAGGACTGAACCAGGACTAAACCAGGAGTGTCAGGACAGGCCCGGAGGTGCGCCTGTGTAGACTGTCGGGTGATCAGGACTGAGACTGGGACCAGACCGGGACCAGGACTGAGACCAGTTTAGTCCTGGTTTAGTCCTGGTTTAGTCTCGGCTCAGTCCTTTATTAGTCCTGGCTCAGTCCCGGTTCATTCTTGTTTTAGTCCTGGTTTAGTCCTGATCCAGTCCCGTTTTAGTCCTGTTTCAGTCCTAGTTCAGTCCTGTTTTAGTCCTGGTTTAGTCCTGGTTTAGTCCTGTTTTAGTCCTGGTTTAGTCCTGGTTTAGTCCTGGTTTAGTCCTGTTTTAGTCCTGGTTTAGTCCTGGTTTAGTCCTGGTTTAGTCCTGGTTTTAGTCCTGGTTCAGTCCTGGTTTAGTCCCTGTTTAGTCCTGGTTTAGTCCTGGTTTAGTCCTGTTTTAGTCCTGGTTTTAGTCCTGTTTCAGTCCTGGTTTAGTCCTGTTTTCAGTCCTGGTTTAGTCCTGTTTAGTCCTGTTTCAGTCCTGTTTAGTCCTGTTTTCAGTCCTGGTTTAGTCCTGTTTCAGTCCTGTTTCAGTCCTGGTTTAGTCCTGTTTCAGTCCTGGTTCAGTCCTGGTTTAGTCCTGGTTTAGTCCTGTTTCAGTCCTGGTTTCGTCCTGGTTTAGTCCTGGTTTAGTCCTGGTTTAGTCCAGCATCACAGTTTAAGCCACAGAAATGGGAAACGGTTCATTTTGGTTTTGGAGTCACATAATGAAGAAAATCGTTGTTTTTTCATTTTCTTATTTTTGGTTTTATTTTGAAAAACGAATGAACGAATGACACACGGATTAACGCAAAAACTCCACGAGAGAGTTCTGACCTGCAGCTCACGTTAAACTCGCGAGATTTTCCTGCCGTCCCGTGAGCGCAGCCTGTTTAAACCTGAACACTGCCCCCTGGTGTTCACCTGAAGGAGTAACTCTCGTCGTCGTACTCCAGATCCACTTCCTCCTCGTCCAGAAGCCCGTACTTGAACTTCCTGTAGACCGTCCCGTCCTGAGACATGTACACAATGTCCTCGTCTTCGCCGTTATCGTCGTCGTCGTCGTCGCACTCGATGATGCGGCGGCTCTGCTCGTCGAACTCCGTGGTGGGCGAGGCCAGCGTGCCGTTGGGCGAGAGCTTTTCGTAGCCGCCCCCTTTGGTCGCGGGCGCGGCGGAGCGGAGGCGGACGTACTGGAGGTAGTAGAAGATGGCCGCGCCCACGGAGAGGATGAGGAGGACGCAGACGGTGACGAAGACTCTGGGCGCCGAACTCTGCTCTGCGTCGAAGATGTGGCGCAGTTGACTGTTGACGCTGAGAACGCACTCGTCTGGAAACAACACGGACATGATTATTTTTAGTGACGGTGAGATGAAGCCCCACGAAGCACTGAAGCGTTAACTCCATTTGCTCGACTCTTGAGGCGACGCTTCAAGGTGCTTCATTTGCTCCACTGCACCATCAAGTGGACAAAAAATATATAACAGGCAGATTGATAATAGATGCATCACGAATTTCAGACTTCCGGTCATCGCCAAATTCATACTGGGAAGGATTTTCAAAAAAAGTGAGCATCAAACCACGTCATGTTTGTTTTCCCAGTGGGATGTGTCTATTCACAAAGTCGATCTTTTCAAGTCTTTTGAACCATATCACTTTTGTTTCTGGTTCTGATATTGTCATATTTTAGTTTTGGGATTCGGACGTCGTAATTGTGTGGATGTTGGATCCTAACAGTGGAAAACGGCTCAAGGAATGTGTTTGTGAACTTCCATAAATGCAAAAGTGAATCAGATGTGTGTGACTCAAACCTCTGTTCAAACTGTTTCTCTTCCCAACGGAATTGAAAAATAGTGAAAGGTGAAGGTGATGGGCAGGATTGATCCACAGGAAGAACCAAAAAGGAAACATTTGTCTGCCTAAGAAATCATCCCAAATTTGCTGCAAATATTTTGTATGTGGAGCGAAAACAAAGTAAAATCCTGTTTGTTAAGTGAGAGGAGCAGAAGACAAACAGACTGAGCTGCACTTTCTTGTTCTTGTGGTTTTACAGCAACATCACGTCTTGGTCTCTTTGCAGTGGAAGGTGTTTCTTGGTGAACAGTTGGAGCCTTTCACTTTGGCGTTGACTTTTTAAATTCATAACCAAGGTGGAGCGAGGGATCGGGATTTTGCTTAGCCGTCGCTCCACATACAAATTGTTCGCTACAAACTAGGGATCATTTCTTAGACAGACAAATGTTTCCTTTTTGGTTCTTCCTGTGGATCAATCCTGCCCATCACCTTCACCTTTCACTATTTTTCAATTCCGTTGGGAAGAGAAACAGTTTGAACAGAGGTTTGAGTCACACACATCTGATTCACTTTTGAAGTTATGGAGTTCACAAACAATTTTCTCGAGCCGTTTTCCGCTGTTAGGATCCAACATCCACACAATTACAATGTCCAAATCCCAAAACTAAAATATGACAATATCAGAACCAGAAACAAAAGTGATATGGTTCAAAAGACTTGAAAAGATCGACTTTGACAATAGACACATCCCACTGGGAAAACAAACATGGAGGTTTGATGCTCACGTTTTCGGAAAATCCTTCCCAGTGTGGATTACACAATGACCAGAAGTCTGAAATCCGTGATGCATCATATGTTCATATGTTCATATGTTTGTAAACTGACCGCTGGAGGCCGTGCAGTCGCAGCATTCCCAGGAGAAACTCTCTCCGTCTTTCACATACTCCTTCCCGCAGCAGCTCAGACAGCGGCCGTCGTCTGACAGCATCTGCAGGGCCGGACACACGGTGCAGTGTGAGGCAGACGGGCCCCTACAGTCCACACACGAGCTGTGACACCGAGCGCACTCCAGCTTCCCCCCGTCCTGACGAGAAGAAACAGATCAATACAAACACAAGACAAGACTGAAACACCGATCTACAGTCGCACTCGGGTCAGACAGAGGCACTGCTGGGCAAGTGACTTTAAAACTGTAATGTGTTATTTATTTATGACTTGTTTCTGTCATTTCAAAGTCATTTGTTACATTACAATATTACATTAAGATTACATTACTACTGCAGCACTTTTAAGTTACTCTCAACAAAATAACTGCAAAGATGATGAACTTTTGCACCGTATATGGACTGAACCAGGTCTAAACCAGGACTGAACCAAGACTGAACCAGGACTAAACCAGAACCAAACCAAGACTAATCTCGGACTAGAACTTGGAATCTAGGACTGCCCCTGAGAGAACCCCAAGCCTGTGGAGCAGGTGTCCACAAAGCAGCTGTCCTTAACCACATTAAAATATTATTGATTTTTATATGAGACACTGCTGCTTTAAATTATGTCCATCCTAGTCCTGGTTTAGTCCTGGTTTAGTCCTGGTTTAGCCCAAAATATGAAAACAGGAAAATACCGCCGTGTAATCCATTTATTTCAACAAAGTAACTGTAATCCAATTACCACTCACTGAAACAGTAACTGTAACTGAATACAGTTACTCATAATTTGTACTCAGATTACATAACTCCAGTACATGTAATCTGTTACTCCCCAACACTGCCCATATTTGCAGTACAAGTATTTGCAGTGAAAGTATACACAGTACTCACCACTGCAGGAGAGGTCTGGTACTCGCCCACGACACAGTTAGACTCACAAATGCCTCCAAAATATCTGTATCCTTCAAAACAGGACCGGCAGAAAATGGCGCCCTCATCTGGAAAACACGAGAAGAGCAGAAGAGAGAAGTGAGGCAGGTCCTTTCCTCTAGCCATCAGTTTGACAAGAACTATTCGTTTTATTTTATTTGTAAATCTTTTGACAAAATTTAGTTGTAGTCAAAATGTTGTCAGTGAAAATTTTAATTGAGTCGACTCCAGTAGGTTTGATTTGAACATGATAAACTGCAGGTCATTTCTTCATGGTTGTGTGCAGATGAGCTCTTGGACATTAAGTCTGAACTTTAGTCCTTTTCATTCATTATATTTAGTCGTGTCTGTGTGACTCTGTGCACCTGACAGGGCGACAGGTGCGCTGGACGAGAGGCACTTATGTTTTTAAAGAAAAACTCCCGCACACTGTTTCACTCTTCATTTTTCTTTTATTAGTGCGACGTTTTGGTCCCTTCAGACCGAAGGGCCTGAGGAAAGTCTGAGGGACTGAAACATTGTACCAATAAAAGAAAAATCAAGAGTGAGACAGTGTGCGCGAGTTTATCTTTGAAATTCATTATGTTTAGTTCAGTAACTAAATCAGTACTTTTAATTTACAAAGAGATGTTATTTTAGTCATAGTTTGAGTCATGATGATGTTCAGGATGTGTTTACAATATCTGTGACTCACTGTACCTGAACACTACAGGTGTGTGTGTGTGGGTGTGTAGGTGTGTGTGTGTGTGTGTGTGTGTGTGTGTGTGCGTGTGCATGTGTGTGTGTTTTTGTGTAGGTGTGTGTGTGTGTGTGTGTGTGTGTGTGTGTGTGTGTGTGTGCGTGCGTGTGTAGGTGTGTGTGTGTGCGTGTGTGTGTAGGTGTGTGTGTGCGTGCGTGTGTGTGTGTAGGTGTGTACGTGCGTGTGTGTAGGTGTGTGTGTGTTTGTGTGTGTTTGTGTGTTTGTGTGTGTTTGTGTGTGTGTTGTGTGTGTAGGTGTGTGTGTGTTGTGTGTGTGTGCGTGCGTGCGTGTGTGTGTGTAGGTGTGTGTGTGTGTGTGTGTGTGTGTGCGTGCGTGTGTGTGTGTAGGTGTGTGTGTTTGTGTAGGTGTGTGTGTGTGTTTGTGTGTGTTGTGTGTGTGTGTTTGTGTGTGTGTAGGTGTGTGTGCATGTGTGTGTGTGTGTAGGTGTGTGTGTGTGTTGTGTGTGTTTGTGTGTGTGCATGTGTGCGTGTGTGTGTGTGTGTGTGTTTGTGTGTGTGTGTGTGTGGTGTGTGTGTAGGTGTGTGTGTGTGTGTGTGTGTGTGTGTGTGTTGTGTGTGTGTGTGTGTGTGTAGGTGTGTGTGTGTGTGTGTGTGTGTGTGTGTGTGTGTGTGTGTGTGTGTGTGTGTGTGTGTGTGGTGTGTGTGTTTGTGTGTGTGTGTGTGTGTGTGTGTGTGTGTGTGTGTGTGTGTGTGTGTGTGTGTGTGTGTGTGTGTGTGTGTGTGTGTGTGTGTGTGTGTTGTGTGTGTGTGTGTGTGTGTGTGTGTGTGTGTGTGTGTGTGTGTGTGTGTGTGTGTGTGTGTGTGTGTGTGTGTGTGTGTGTGTGTGTGTGTGTGTGTGTGTGTGTGTGTGTAGGTGTGTGTGTGTGTGTGTGTGTGTGTGTGTGTGTGTGTGTGTGTGTGTGTGTGTGTGTGTGTGTGTGTGTGTGTGTGTGTGTGTGTGTATATTTTGGGACTCACCTTCGCAGGTTTTGCAGGAGGCGTGGCATTTTTGGCAGCTCTTGCTCTTGTCGTGTTGGTAGTATCCGTCGGGACAGTGCTGCACACACTGCCCCCTGTGGGGCAGGTAGAAGAAGTGCTCCCGACAGCTCAGACAGTGCGAGGCCCCGGGGCCACTGCAGGCGTCACACGACGGGTCACAGCGCTCACACACCATCGACACGGGGTTTCCAAAGTGACTGAACAAACACAGGGGCAGAGCGCGGAAAAACTTAAAAACAACTTAAAACAATTCTTTTCATTTTTTAAATACAAAACTTGATGAATGAAAATGCTGTTGTGTTTGTCGAGGAGCAGAAACAGATGAGCGACAATAAAACCTGAGACAGAGAATAACTCTGACTCACTGAGCCTGAACTGAGACGAGACTGGAGCTGAACAACTGCAGCTCCTACTGTTTTTAATGTAACGCATTATATTTACATGCTAACATTATACACAAGTACAAGTACAAGTACAAGTACAAGTACAAGTACAAGTACAAGTACAGTTAAAAATCTACACACATACTCAAATAAAGTGAGTATTTGAAAATAGGACCTGGAGGAGCAGATCTGCACACCCCTGCCTGTCTGTACACAGCACCTGTCTGTACATACAGCACCTGTCTGTACCACAGCACCTGTCTGTACACACAGCACCTGTCTGTCTGTACACAGCACCTGTCTGTACATACAGCACCTGTCTGTACACAGCACCTGTCTGTACACAGCACCTGTCTGTCTGTACACAGCACCTGTCTGTACTGTACACAGCACCTGTCTGTACTGTACACAGCACCTGTCTGTACACAGCACCTGTCTGTCTGTACACAGCACCTGTCTGTACTGTACACCTGTCTGTACATATAGTACATGTACATGTACTACATGTACATGTAGTACATGTACACGTAGTACATGTACACGTAGTACATGTACACGTAGTACATGTACACGTAGTACATGTACATGTAGTACATGTACATATAGTACATGTAGATAGGAGGTACCTGGGGGAGCAGGTGTGCACGCAGCCTCCTGCCTGGGCGTAGTACCCGGGTTTGCAGCGGTCACACTGGAGGCTGTGGCGCCCGCTGCACTGGGCACAGCTCCAGTGGCATCGAGCACAAACTGGCTCATCTGAAGAGTCGGCGAAGAAACCGTCAGGACACTGAGAGACGCACGAAGAATCTGAAACACACAGAGACACGGGACGTTTAACGGTTCAACATCACACAGGACTCATTTCTCTGAAGTCGTCGAATCTATCTCCATAACTTTTACACAACATTAGAATTCTGTCATAAAACTTTAGTGTCACCACATCTACTACTGAAAATCCTTTATACAAAAATAAGTTTATGGTATAATAATGTTTTAGACAGAACTTTGAACTGATGTAAGAAAAAGTTTTAAATATATTTATCAAGACAGAATGTGAAGAAACTCAAAGGTTGTGTAATCAATGTGTGTGTTGACATTTAACACACACATTTAATGTGAGCTACTTTTAAACTCTTTGAGTTTTCTGACCAGCTGCATGTGATGTTTATAGTTTGTTTTACCCACATTGTTGATGTATTTCAACAGGATAATTTAAAACATGTTTTTAGAGGAACATGGAGTATTATATGCAAATATTACAATGAAACTGCAAGAAAACAACCAAACCGGGTCATTTTTGACCCACTTATGCATCTAAGGGTTAATGTGGGTAGGTCTTATAGCTTTGTAACTAGCACCATTTGATTCCCTGACCCTGAAAATGTGGGTTTAACAGTTAAAATCAACATTTCAACTTATTCAGAGGCTGAGATATTCCAAAAAGAGATTTTTGGCGGCCATTTTTTAAAACTTTAATATGGCCACCATACAGACATCTGGGCAAATGCAAGCATAGATTTTCTGACTCCAAACACAATAACCTTTCCAAAAATATATAGTTTAGCAAATCCCCCAAAATTCCCACAAAAATATATAATGAACTGGACTCTAATCTCGAGACGAGAGGTGACAGAGACTTTTCTGTGGCAGCGTCTGGACTGTGGAACAACCTTCCTCTTCCTGTCAGATCCTCTCAGTCTGACACAGTTTAAGACTAGACTGAAAACTCACTTCTTCTCCCTGGTGTTCGGTACGAGCTGTCAGGTTATCTTGGTGTTTTGATTGTAGTTTTCACATGTTATCTGTAGATCTGGAAATGTAACTGTTTCTTCTATTTTGTTGACTTTTATGTGACTTTGGTCAGCTCCAGTTGTTTTAAATGTGCTTTATAAATAAACTTGAACTGAATTGAAACTTATTCATTCATTTGCACTCATTTTTGACCCAAATATTTTGGCCAGATATGGAACCAAACGCAGGGTTCTAATCTAAAGAATCTAAAATATATATATATATATATTCTGAAGCACCCTACTAAACATAGATCAGAAAATAACCTGATACGAGCCCTTTAATCCTTCACCAAACTGAAACAAAGCAAAAGGAATTCTAAGTTCTTCTTGGTCATGTGACTCACTGAGCAGGAAGTTGGGGGCGTTGCAGCTGAAGCAGTGGTCGTGCCCGGGTCCGGAGCAGCGGTGGCAGGACGAGTGGCACTTCTGACACTCTCCGTTCGAGTCCACGTACGAGTGCATGGCACAGAGGCTGTACCACACGCAGTGGCCCGAGGCGTCGCGCAGGCGTCCCTCTGGACACGAGATGCACGAGGAGGGCAGGTGGTCCGAGCAGGTCAGGCACGTCACGTCGCACTCTGCAGAAAGAACACACGGACAGAACAGGTGTCGAGACGGGTTTAGTCTGAGGTGAACAGATTTTCAACATTCTAAACTGGGACACACCTCGACTCGGACGACTGGTATAAATAAAACTGCAAAAATAGTGAGTAACATTGTGGATTCTCGTGTCAGTCATGATCTGAGGGGCTCCTGTTGCTGCCTTTTTTTGCTTTATGGTCATTTGCAAACACATATTTCTGCATTTTGGCAAAACTAATTACAATTTATACTCCTCTTTATTGTTGGCAGAATCAGATTAGTCAAAAATTGTGATAGTCCTGTTTTAGTTTAGACCTGATGTAGTCCTGGTTTAGTCTTAGTTTGGGTGACCAAACATCACAAAACTTCTCTAAGGTTCATATTTGTAGAGAGAAATTTTAGAGAGAAATGCTGAATAAATGCATATAATCAATAATCGTGATTTCAATATTGACCAAAATAATCATGATAATGATTTTTTCCATAATTGAGCAGACCTGTTTTAACTTAGTCTGAAAACTGAAGAAAAATACAAAATTAAATTAAACAACACATTTTCAGAAGCGTGTGATCAAAACGAGTGTTCATATTTAGGTGACCGCTTTTTTACAGTCTTGGTCTTGTCTCGGACTCTTGCGCTTTTGGACTCGGTCTTGTCTCGGTCTTCTCGTCTTGTCTCGGTCTTGTCTCGGTCTCGTCTCGTCTCGTCTCGGTCTCGTCTCGGTCTTGATGGTGTTTTTCTCGGTTTATCTAGGTCTTGTCTCGGTCTTGTCTCGGTCTTGTTCTCGGTCTTGGTCTCGGTCTTGTCTTGGTCTCGTCTCGGTCTTGATGGTGTTTTGTCTCGGTCTTGATGGTTTTGTCTCGGTCTTGTCTCGGTCTTGTCTCGGTCTTGATGGCGCTTGGTCTCGGTCTTGTCTCGGTCTCGGTCTTGTCTCGGTCTTGTCTCGGTCTTGATGGCGCTTGGTCTCGGTCTTGTCTCGGTCTCATCTCGGTCTTGATGGTGTTTGTCTCGGTCTTGTCTCGGTCTTGTCTCGGTCTTGTCTCGTCTTGTCTTGTCTCGTCTCGGTCTTGTCTCGGTCTTGTCTCGGTCTTGTCTCGGTCTTGATGGCGCTTGGTCTCGGTCTTGTCTCGGTCTTGTCTCGGTCTGTCTCGTCTTGTCTCGGTCTTGTCTCGGTCTTGATGGCGCTTGGTCTCAGTCTTGTCTCGGTCTTGTCTCGGTCTTGATGGCGCTTGGTCTCAGTCTTGTCTCGGTCTTGTCTCGGTCTTGTCTCGGTCTTGTCTCGGTCTTGATGGCGCTTGGTCTCGGTCTTGTCTCGGTCTTGATCTCGTCTCGGTCTCGTCTCGGTCTCGTCTCGTCTCGGTCTTGTCTCGGTCTTGTCTCGGTCTTGTCTCAGACTCGAGGTCTGACACTCGACGAGTGTGATCATGTGTCATTAAGACTGGTAAATGTGCAGAGGCTAAATATCACTGCAAAACAAGTAAGATCATCTAACTGTGAATGATATGAATTTGAAAAAAACCACTTGATTCAATTTGAAGTTAATTTCTGTAAAGTTCCAGTGGAAGTTCTTACAGAGTGTTTAAGTACAGTACAGTTCACTTGGCTTATTTTAGGCCTAAATGAACATTGATGAGATAAAATGGAGATAGATTCATAAAAACATTAATATATTTGTTCCAAAATGACTGTAAAATACAAATAAATGTAGGAAATGAAAAAGATGGTCTAGATTTGGTCTCGATGGACCCTGGTCTTGGTCTCATCTCGGTCTCGACCCTCAGAGGTTTTGGTCTCGTCTCAGTCTCGGGACCCTGTGGTCTCGGACTGGTCTTGGTCTTGATTATTGCGCCCTCGACAACAACACTACTGTAAAGTTATTTGAGAAGGAAAACGTAAATCTGCTCACTTGTAGTTTCAGCTAAATCAGTTTTTTTATGGTCAGACTGTGTTAAAATATGACACAGACGTTAATGACCTGAGCTGTAAAGTATCAGTGGTGCATATGTACGTTCAGTGTGCGGGCGATGTGTACCTCTGCACTCGTTGGTGGCCTGGTCGTAGTAGGTGTTGCTGGGGCACTGGCCCAGGCACTGCCCCCTGTACCTCACAGCTTTGGGGTGGGCACAGACGATACAGTCGTCTGAGTCGGGTCCGTCGCAGGAGGAGCACTCGCTGTGGCACTTCACACACTCCTGACCCCCCGTGTCCACGAAGAACCCGACGGGACAGTCCTCCACACACGCAGCCTTGTGCAGGAAGTAGAACTCGGCGCAATCTGCAGCAAAACAAACGGGAAACAGGGTTAAAGTGCAACAAAAATTAAATTCTTGCCCCTGAATTTTGTACTGGCTCATTTAAAGTTAAAAGTAGAACTATAAGTGTTACTTGTGCAGAGTCCGTCCTGGTTGCACTCTCTGCAGTCGGGGGGGCAGGCCGTGCACTCTGACCCTGAGCTGTAGTAGCCGTCCGGACAGCGCCCCCAGCAGGTGTGGTCGAGCAGCAGGTGAGGCGGCTCACAGCTGAGGCAGGTGGAGGCGTTTCCCTGACAGGACAGACACTGGGGCAGGCAGGGCAAACACACACCGTCACGGGGGAAACCTCTGAGCAAAAACACACAACAGGAGACCAGACGTGAACCACACGAGCATCAGGGGCAAAGGTCAGGAACATGTTACATTACTGGTCACATTTCAAACCCTTCAGTGGGTAAGAAATGTAACTCATCAAGGCGAGCAGCTGTAGTGGCGACAGATAAACAAAAAGAGTTTGAGCACTTCACTGGGTCATAAAAGAGTAAAAAATTGCAGTACAGGTCTACGAGAGTTAAAACAGTCATTTTTAAACAGAAAGTTACTCTTACTGGAAAATGTAAAAATGGGAAAGGTACAAACCCGAGGCACACCGACTGAGTATATATATATATTTATATTCAACGAAGACCATCTTGCTGGTTGAAACGCGTTGACATCCCTTCATGTAATAAAGGACTTTTAATATATTCAGTCGAGTGTGCCTCAGGTTTGTACTTTGTCCATTTTTACATTTTCCAGTAAGAGTAACTTTCTGTTTAAAAGCTCTAGTGGTGAATTTGGAGCAGAGTTTCATATTTGGAACATTTGAAGTTCAGAATGACAAGTCTGACAGCAGCAGTTACAGAGAAAGCAGCCACAATTTTTCAATAAAAAGATAATCAGAACCAGAATCAGTGGAGCCAGAAATGCGCCCATGCTCACTTCCTGTTTGGAACATGGCGACTGACAGGCTAACGGGCAGGCTTTGTCCACTTTATGAAACAGACACAATAATGGTTTCACAAAACACTGCAGCAGTGAAAAGGGCACAATAAGGACATTTTAAGGCTAATTATTGTTTCTTTCTGCAGTTTATTTGTTGCAGCTCAGACTTTTTAATCATACAGTTTATTTTTTTTAATTTTACCGGGATTATCCTGTTTTGTGTCAGTGGCAGAAAGTATTTTCAATATTATTTTTTATTGTAGTATTTTGTTCTTTAAAATGTGTTATTGTGACAGACTCCACACAAACTACAAACTACAAACAAATACAGACAAACTACAGACAAACTACAGACAAACTACAGACAAATACAGACAGACAAAGTGATATCTGGTCCTGGGTCTGACCTGAGGCAGTTTTCCACACAGGCTCCGTCCTGCAGCACGAGTCCGTGGTGACAGCGCAGACACTGCAGGGGGCGCTCACACGCCACACAGCCGCGGGAGCACTCCTCACAGCGGCCAGACGTCCTGTTGGAGAAGGTCCCAGCGGGACAGCGACTGGAGCAACTCTGCTCAGACGTCAGGAACTGATCTGAGAGGAGAACATTTATTTAACAAAAACATCAAATTATTATTTATGAAGATTCATTAAACATGAGAGGAGAAGAAGAAGAAGAAGAAGAGGTGTGACCTGGAGGACAGCTGAGGCAGTCGGTCATTCTGGGGCCGGAACAGGAGGCGCAGGACGATGAGCAGAGCAGACACCGCCCCACATCTGAACAACGCACAAAACACACTAAATAAACATATATATATATATTTTTTATTTATGTTTATTAAGGACATCACAGTTAATGATTAGTACTGATGCAACAACCTGATGTACAATGAATCTCTCCTGTAGAAAAGGTTAATGTAAAAATTGTGTGCTGTCCCTGTATCAAATAAATAAATAAAAAATAAATAAATAAATAGCTTTGAGTATTTTAGCACAGGTGTGAGTTTTCGACACTTGTCCATATAAAAATATAAACTACACACATAAAAACAGACAAAACAAGACATAGAAGTTACATATAAATAAAATATATACAATAGTACATTTGCATTTTTGATCAGAAACATACAATAATTTTAATTTTCTTTCAAATTTGTTGTTATTGGTTTCCAATTTTAAATGAGCTGGTAAATCGTTCCACAGTCTCGTCCCTTTAGAAGAGAAAGAGACAGAACAAGAGTTTGTCCTGTACAGAGGAACAACACAATCACCACTAAGAGCAGCTCCTCTTGTGTTCTCTCTGTGTGAACATTTTATGGTCCTGGCAAATTCTGAATATACTGGTTTATCTCAGTATTTAAGATGATTAAATTTGGTAAAATGTTCAAAGTTAAAAAGTTGATGTTTCTTTAAAAGTCCACAGTGGTGCCGGTGTCTGGGCTTTTAGTCCTGGACTTTAAGGGTGAGTTTGTAAAATGAACAGAGGGTTTCAGTTTGTCTGAGGAGCCTGGGACCATGAGGTGATAGAATAAAAGAGATGAGAGAAGATCATTGTGTTCAAGAAAAGTTTAGAAGTCTGGAGCTTTAGATCTTTACGCATGAATCAAAAGCACTTGAGACTAGTTTTAATCTTCTTCGTTAAGTATTTTGTGTGACTGATAAATCTGAAACGTTCGTCTAGACCAGGGGTGTCAAACTCTTTTTGATCCGGGGGCCGTATCCAACTGACTTTGATCTCAAAGGGGCCGGATCAGAAAACTCATGTCATATAAACCCCAAAAATAACAATAAGTTCAAATATTTGTGCAGAGAAACACAAATCTATTACAGAAATCTTTTTTAATTGATGAACTCTTTCTTTTACAAAATATTATAATATTATGAACAACCTGAAACTTTAAGAAAAATGTAATTTCAACACAAAGTTTTAACATTAACTTGTTTGCAAATAGGAATAAGTCAATTTTTCTTGGAAAATCCTGCACTCGGCTCCACTTTTCTCATTTGTGACATTTTTCTGATGAGGATGTCACGGTCAACAGTCAAAACGATCGTCCTTTAAGAGCGTTTGGAAAGAGACAAGTCTTCATTTGTGCTGCTCTGGTGGGAGGGGCCACGTACAGAGACACTGGAGACACTGATATGCTAAATGACACAGGAAATTACCGATATTTTAATAAGAAATATAATTAAAATATTTTAGTAGAAAATCAGCCGAGGGCCACATTAAAGGTCTTGGAGGGCCGGATCTGGCCCCCGGGCCGTATGTTTGACACCTGTGATCTAGAATGAGGCCAAAGGTATTTAACTTCACTGACTGTTTGAATTTTTTGTTGTTTTTTTTTGTCTTCAAGTGAGAAAAAACTGAACTCAACTTTAGAGCTTTATGATAAAACTATGTGACAGCAAGCAAAAAGAAAAGCCAAATGAAAGCCTCCCTCATAAAGACAGAAGTGAAAAGCTCAGAGGAAGCGAGTAGAAATATTGAAGTGTAAAGTGAGTTAAACTAAACCGATCCGTACCGTCCTTGAAGGATCCGTGGCTGCAGACCTCCAGCTCGCTCCTCTTCAGACACTCGCCCTCCCTCAGAGTGAGTCCGTCCTTACACGAGTCACAGTCGTCGTACTGGGGCCCCCCGCAGGTCACACATGAGCGGTGACACGGCTCACACGCCTGATTCTTCTCATCCACGAACGAGCCGGGCCTGCAGCGCTTCACACACTCCCCTCCTGAACACACAACAGTTACAGCTTTGTTATAAGAGTTTGTGACCACTACTATTACTATTCCTGCTACAAATGTGTGTGTGTGTGTGTGTGTGTGTGTATGTGTGTGTGTGTGTGTGTGTGTGTGTGTGTGTGTGTGTGTATGTGTGTGTGTGTGTGTGTGTGTGTGTGTGTGTGTGTATGTGTGTGTGTGTGTATGTGTGTGTGTGTGTGTGTATGTGTGTGTGTGTGTGTGTGTGTGTGTGTGTGTATGTGTGTGTGTGTGTGTGTGTATGTGTGTGTGTGTGTGTGTGTGTGTGTCTGTGTGTGTGTGTGTGTGTGTGTGTGTGTGTATGTGTGTGTGTGTGTGTGTGTGTGTGTGTGTGTGTGTGTGTGTGTGTGTGTGTGTGTGTGTGTGTGTGTATGTGTGTGTGTGTGTGTGTGTGTGTGTGTATGTGTGTGTGTGTGTGTGTGTGTGTGTGTGTGTGTGTGTGTGTGTGTGTCTGTATGTGTGTGTGTGTGTATGTGTGTGTGTGTGTGTGCGACCCTGTTGTGACTCCTGAACATGAACATGGATAATTTGTCTAAACCACATGTGGCTTATTGTTTAGACTAAAGTAAGAGTTGTTATTACGTAATATTCAACCAGGAGAGACAGATACTGTAGTTTAAAAACTACCTGGACCAATGTTTTTTTTAAATGAATGTACAAAAAAAATCTATACTGATACTGTTACTAATATACATCTAGATTTGATAAGAAATTTTGAGTTTTGTATTGAAAAGCTTGAATAGTATTTCCCTAATTGAGTATCTACTTTCTTACGGAAGTTGCTGCAGCATTAGAATATATATATAAAATAAAATAAAAAAATAAAATTAAAAATAAGAAAACTAAAAAACATCTATTTTCTTCATTATTTGTGTCCAAAACCAAAATGAAAAAACAGATATTGTGTTTAAATAAAGAATGGAAAAAACGGATAACGGACTGAACCTGGACTAAACCATTTTTAGTCCTGGTCTCAGTCCCGGTCTCAATCACAATCTGGTCCTCTTCAGGTCCCGGTTTCAGTCCTGGTCTCAGTCCCGATCCTGGTCCCGGTCCTCGTCTCAGTCCCAGTCTGGTTCTGGTCTGGTCCTATACCCGTTTTAGTCCTGTTTTAGTCCTATTTAGTCCTGGTTCAGTCCGGCATCAAAGTTTAAGTCACGTAAACGGGAAGCGTCTGTTATCTGTTTTTTTTCCATTTTTCATTTAAACACAAAATCAAAAACTGAAAAAACACATCTTAATCTGTTTTTTAATTTTGTTTTTGGAGACAAATAATGAAGAAAATTGTTGTTATTTTGTTTTCTTATTTTTGTTTTTATTTTGAAAAACGAATGAACGAATGATACACGGATTCATTATCATTCTGGTCTTTCTTATTCTTGACTTTTCTCAAATCAACATTTTTATACAATATTTTAGAAGGGAGATTATTATGTATTTATTTTATTATTTTTTTTTACATTAATAGAATCTGAATAGTGCGTGGAATAAAGTGGTTTGTGCTTCAGGAGGAGACGTGTGACGATAAACGAGCAGGTTTTGTTGTGGGTGTACAGGTTAAAGTGGTCCTGGATTATTTGGTTTGGGGGGTTAGAGTTTTACCGGACACGTAGAATCCGCTCTCACACCAGTAACACTCGCTCTGGTCACAGTTGAGGCAGTGCTCGTCTTCACAGGGGGCACACCGCTTCGTCTCCTCCAGACTGTAGGTCCGATCCGGGCACGACCTGTGACAGTCCGACCCCGACCTGGAAAACAACAACCACCACACTGTAAAAACACGCCAGGATTTATTTTTATCTGAGTAAGTCTAAAGCTTTTTGAAGAGTAAAGTGATTCTGTGATGTTCATGAATGTTTTTGTGAGATGTTAGGAAAGTGACTTTAAAACTGTGATGTGTTATTTATTTATGACTTGTTATTGTCATTTCAAAATAATTCATTACATTACAACATTACCGTGTTTAAAATATAAAACATTACAGGAGTATTTCAGCACTTTAACTTCAACAAAATAACAAATATATCATAAATATATGGACTGAACCAGAACTGAATCAGAACTGAACCAGGACTAAATCAGGACTAAACCAGGACTAAATCAGGACTAAACCAGGACTAAATCAAGACTAAACCAGGACTAAACCAGGACTAAACCCAGACTAAACCAGGTCTAAACAAGGTCTAAACCAGGATGAAACCAGGACTAAACCAGAACTGAACCAGGACTGAACCAGGTCTAAATCAGGACCAAACCAGAACTGAACCAGGACTGAACCTGGACTGAACCAGGTCTAAATCAGGACTAAACCAGAACTGAACCAGGACTGAACCTGGATTGAACCAGGACTAAACCTGGACTAAACCAAGACTAAACCAGGAATAAACCAGGATTAAACCAGGACAAAACCGAGACAAAACCAGGACTAAACCCAGACTAAACCAGGTCTAAACAAGGTCTAAACCAGGACGAAACCAGGACTAAACCAGAACTGAACCAGGACTGAACCAGGTCTAAACAGGAACTAAACCAAGACTAAACCAGGTCTAAATCACGACTAAACGAAGACTAAACCAGGTCTAAACCAGGACTAAACCAAGACTAAACCAGGTCTAAATCAGGACTAAATGAAGACTAAACCAGGTCTAAACCAGGACTAAACCAAGACTAAACCAGGTCTAAATCAGGACTAAACCAAGACTAAACCAGGTCTAAATCAGGACTAAACCCTAAACCAGGTCTAAACTAAACAGGACTAAACAGACTAAACCAGTCTAAATCAGGACTAAATGAAGACTAAACCAGGTCTAAACCAGGACTAAACCAAGACTAAACCAGGTCTAAACCAGGACTAAACGAAGACTAAACAAAGACTAAACCAGGTCTAAACCAGGACTAAACAGGAACTAAACCAAGACTAAACCAGGTCTAAATCAGGACTAAACAAAGACTAAACCAGGTCTAAACTAGGACTAAACCTGGACTAAACCAGGACTAAACCAGGACTAACCTTGAACTAGGACTTGGAATCTCTTGGAAGCTCTTTGTGTTGCATTTTTGTATGAAAATCGCTCTATAAATAAAGTTTGATTTGTTTTTATTTGATCTAGGACCGCCCCTGAGAGAACCCAGAGCCCTGGAGCAAGTGTCCGCAAATCTCGATCGATCTTCGCCCTGTGGAGCGTGGAGTTCGGCATCGGTCCTTTCGCCCGCGGTCACACGACGGTCTACAGGGGCGCACCTCCGGGCCCGATGTCGTTTCGCCGCTGCTGATATCGCTGTGATTTTAGGGAATTTGTATGAAGAAAAATGAAAAACCCACCACTTCAATCCAGATTAAAAATACATCGTGACGCGCGTTACTCACATTTGTACCCAGTAAAATATTACAATTTTTTCCCCCTGTAACGCCGAAACATTACTGCGTTACAGGAAAAAGCAATGGATTACAGTAATTCATTAATTTTTACAACACGTTACTCCCAAAACTGATCATCAGTCATTTACATTTTTGAATCGTACATGTGAGACCCAAGGAGGTAAACAAAAACTGAGACTTTCTGAGCGCCTCAAAAGTAGAAAAACACAAGATCCACAGTTATATTTCTGTTGGTTTATGTGGGGTTTATTTATTTATTTGTATTGATTTTCGAGAGTCGGAGCAGAGAAACACTCACTGATAATAGTCGTCTTCACACTGGACACACACAGGAGGCAGCGCTGGGTCTGACCCCTCCTCTACAACAACACAAGATTTATATATTATACACACACACACAAAACACACACACACACAGACAAACACACACAACAGACACACACACACACACACACACACACACACACACACACACACACAGACACACACAGACACACACACACTGGACACACACAGGAGGCAGCGCTGGGTCTGATCCCTCCTCTACAACAACACAAGATTTATTAATATTATACACACACACGCACAAAACACACACACACACACACACACACACACACACAGACAAAACACACACAAACACACACACACACACACACAGACACACACACAAACACAAAACACACACACACAGACACACACACAGACACACACACAGACACACACACACAGACGCACACACACAGACACAAAACACACACACACAGACGCACACACACACACACACAGACACACACACACAGACGCACACACACACACACACACAGACACAAAACACACACACACAGACGCACACACACACACAGACACACACACACAGACACAGACACACACACACACAGACGCACACACGCACACACACACATATTACCAGTCCAAAAGTTTGGACACACCTTCTCGTTCAAAGTTTTTTCATATTTACTTATTTTCATGTTCACAACTTTCTACACAGAAAACATCAAATCTCTGACTCAGGATCTATTCCTTAGATCTTTAGAACGGAGCAGGAAAAAAAGTTAAACTCAACTAAATATTGTAAATATTTTGGTATTCGCCCTTTGTTTTGTTGTCAGCGCTGCAGACTCTTCGTGACGACGTCTCCTGGAACAGTTTTCACTTCACACTGTGTCACGGTCAAGAAACTACACAAGTGTAACTCAGTGATCAAAGCAAAGGATGATTTAAAAATAAATAAATATATATATATATATATATATATATATATATATATATATATATATATATATATATATATATATATATATATATATATATATATATATATATATATATATATACTGAAAACCAGTTTTTGATTTACTTTTAGTTTATTGTTGTTTTCTATATTTCATGTGTGTCAGTCAGAGTTTTGATGATGAAAAGTTTTAATCAAAAGAATTCCTTTTAAAAAGTATTTCATCTTTGTCGCCAGCAGAGGGCGCTCCAGTACACCAAAAGAGAAGAGAGGAGAGAGGAGAGAGTAGGAGGAGAGAGGAGGAAAGGAGATAGAAGAAAGAAGAAAGGAGGAGAGAAGAGAGAAGGAGAGAGAGAAGAGATGAGAGGAGGAGAGAAAGGAAAGAGGAGAGAGGAGAGAAAGGAGATAGAAGAAAGAAGAAAGGAGGAGAGAGGAGAGAAGAGAGAAGGAGAGAGAGAAGAGATGAGAGGAGGAGAGAAAGGAAAGAGGAGAGAGGAGAGAAGAGAGGAGAGGATAGAGGAGAGAAAAAAAGGGAGGAGAGGAGGATTCAGAGGAGAGGAGCGTTGAAGCAGAGTCTGTGTGAACCAAAAGACACATCAACAGAAGAAGAACAGATCTGAAAAAACAAAAAAACCTGAAAACAAGTAAATAAAAAAACTTTTGTACTGTAACTTCATATTAATCCATGAATAAAACTTGTTCATGTTCACTCTCAGACGGAGCACAGGGGGTTTGAAGAACTGTATACCAGTTTTAAAAATTACACAAAAAATTATAATCCTCAGACGTTGAACCTTTTTGTTTGTTGTTTGGAATC